AAGATGTGTACTATGAGATATAAACTAATATGAAGTTAAATGAAACTTGTCCAAAATCTGTGAAATGGTAAAAAAAATCAGCTGTGAGTTAGTAATGTTCTTTTTGTTGTCTAGGAAACCACACAACACTTTGATGCGGTTGCTAATGTCCTGAAATTTTAAGAAAGTGGTTTTAACAACGTGACTTTAAATTTAAACAAAAAACCAGATGGTGTAACTTTTAACAATATATATCAAATGCATATAGGTAATCATCGGACATCGAAAGAAAAATAAGGTGCATTAAAAAATTTTTTCAACCAATGTATTTAATGATTGAAAAAATATAATACGTATGTTCGACAATCATAATCAGTTTTCGATGACCGCTTGACATACTTGACATTTGATCAAATTTGAAAAATCTGTCAACAACTATAGCTCTATGTAATTCATACTTTTGGTTTTCTAAATATAATTATCAAATAAATAACGTACATTTTACTTTTACATTTTGTTTATGTACATATATTTCAGATTACACCGTCTATGTCGACTTGAACTCAGAAAGGTTCAGTAATTTCTTGAACTTATTAGAGGTACTTCTAAACATTTTTAAGCAGTCCTAAAGGTTTTTAAGCAGTTAAAACACGAAGAAATGGTTCCCTCCTGTCTGCAAATCAGTCCGTTTGTCCGCCTGTCCGACCGCAACATTTTCGTGTCTTCTTTTTATAACTGCTGGATTGCGGAAAAAGTTTTAAATAAATTGACAAATTATCACCATTCTGAGGCGATATGACGATGTGCTAAGTGCTAAAAGCCTGGTAGCTACCCCGAGGTCAAGGTCACATTCAGAGGTCAAGTATGAAAAGGTCAACAGTCTGTTTAATATCCATAACTTTTAAACTGCTGAAATGTTTTTAGAATAACATGAAACAAATTGATTCAATGTACCATTATGACACGAACGCTTAGCGCGAAACTAGGTTGGTACATCAAGGTCAAGGTAACACTTAAAGATTAATTATGAAAAAATCAAAACTTGGTGTTGGCTCCAAAGTTCCAAACTGCTAAAAAATTAATTCCTTGGCATAGATGATCACCATTATGAAACATTATAGGAAGAAGTTTAAAATAACTTTGTATAAATAATAACCCTATAACACGGTGTGCTTACGATGTGCATAGAGTAAAATCATTTATCCCAAAGTTCAAGGTCAGTCAAATGTTAAAACTCCGACATTGCTGTATAGCTGTCCTTCACACTTCCTTGAAATTTAGTAGCGTAGATTATACCGAAATACGATATTCTATTAATGTATTCTAGGTCCGTATGGGTAAGAAGTATTTTCGGCTTCGGTAAACAAAGTAAAAATACCTGACATGATCTAGTTTCAGTACATTTAGTTCATCCCTTAGGTTTTGGTTTTCCTTTTGTAGTTCAGCTTTCTCAGCAATTTCTTTCTCTAATTTTTGCCTCTCCCTTAAAAAGAAATAATTGGACAGGCTCAAACAACAACAAAAACATTTGAGTTTTTACCTTTTTCTTCTGACAGACCAATAACAAGATACGCTTGAACGCAAGCACCTACCTGGCTAGCTTCAAACAGAACAGAAAAGCAAATGAAATGCAAAATATGTAATCATCGATGGAATTGTTTTACATGTGATATGTTGTCCAAGGTTATATGTTTTAACTTGTGAAAATACATAGGGAGACACGTTTAGTTATTTTCATGCCAGTGAATGTCCGCACACAAGCAGATATGACACTTGCTTCTTTCAAATTCTGTCATATATTCTGATATTAAAGGGGTTCCACTGAGATTCAAAAGACTTATGTAATAATATTTGAATTTGTTTCCCTAAATCAACTGGTACACCAGAAAATGGAAACTATGCAAAAGATATTACAGAATATACTCGATATTGAATTAATAATCGAAATTTTCTTCGGTTTTTGGACCGATTTGAATGAAAAGCGTTGCAACGCTTTTCATTTTAGGGTCAAATCGCACAATAAATAGTATTGTCTCTAGAAACCGGATTGGGAAAAGAATCTGAAATTTGACACATGGGTTATTGATTAAGACCTTCATCCACTGGTACAAAAATCTTCAAAAACTATTTTGGTCCCTTCATGCAACAAACTTCAGTGGTGTCCCTTTAAATACTGTGTTTTTGTGTTGAAAATTGAACACTGCTCAAGCAAATGCTTGTAATGTGATTCTAGTTTATGAGATTTGCTTTGTTTTCCATAAATATACTTGATCAAACGAGGTCTACAACTTTCAATTAATAATGTTTTAAATTTCCTTCGAGGGATCGTCCAATTTACATAGATAATTTACCTTTCCGCGTTCTTATTGCATATTTTGGCATCCTCCTCATTGTTATGAGCATGATTCTGTTCACACGGATAACCACCCGTTAATTTTTTGCCCTTAAAAAGAAGAAAATCTATAAAAGTCACCAAATGAAAGAGATGAAGTAAATAAAATTCCAACAGATAATATCTCATTACTTAAAATAACATTTCTAAAAGATATGGTGGTTTTGGTGATAATAATATAATAAACTTGAAGATCCGTAAAATACAAATATAATTCATACGATACAATAAGTGAACCCTTACTACGTTTGCCATTGCATTAAATGCCGCATCCATTTTCTGACGTTAGTTTTTGGTGAATGTATAAACCTGCCGAGAAGAAAAGATCGGTAAAAGTAAACATGGTAAAGCACATATGCAAGCAAGTTTATTTTGATAAGTTTAGAGCTCTAAATAACCATATATACATCTACTGTAAAACGCTCGTGTTGTTTCTGTCTGTTAGTTTGCATTTTAAGCATTGTTGTTTCTTTGCAAAATTAGCTATTGTGGTATGTTTTGTTGCTGTGAATGTTGTGTTGTTTTGATGTGTTGTTGTGATATGTTGTGTTGTTTTTATAAGTTGCGTTGCTGTAATGTGTTGTGATGATGTAACATTCTGTGTTGCTAGGTGTTGTATATTTGTTATATGTTGTGTTATGTTACTTTGATATGTTGTGCTGCTGTGATATTTTGTGTTGTTTTGATGTGATGTTTAGTGTTGTGATCTGCGTATCGTGATGCATCACATATTGCTATTAACTGGTGTTGTTTACAATACAGACAAAACATCTACAAAAAATCGCCATTCTACGTTTCGATAGAGTGTAAATTCAATAATGATATCAGAGAAAAACACAAGACATAATCACATAAACTTTTTATCACTTAAATCCTTAAACTTGATGGCAAAGTTGTCGTTACTTTATAGAAAACATCACCGTTAACTTTAAGGGCCTCTGCGAAACATTTTTTGAACGAACTTCAAAGTTATTTCAGTTTGAAGAGATCCTTTAATCATATAGACGGATAGGTGGACAGACGACATGCTGTCAGGGACCGTGACTAATATGTGCCATGTACAACTATGCGCAACAACAACAACGAAGCAATTATAACCGTTCATGTTTTTTTAAAAAAAGATTATATATATATTCAAAATAAAAAAACGGCTTTTCTGAAGAAAACTTAACGTCGAAAGCTAAAGAAAAGCGTTTGTGTTTATTGACCTGATTATATATACATTGTATATTCAATATGAAATTCGTGTGTATATATACATGTAGTCATGATATTTACAACTTACTTAATAAATGATGCAATTTCATAAAATATAAAAAAAATCTAATTTTCTGCTTTACATATAAGCAAAATGCCTGCAGATTTTGAAAATTTTGAAAATTTATCTAAAAGTAAAACATTGAGAAGTGAGCAAAGAATGTAATTTACATATTATTAACGACGGTAACAATCCACGTAAAATACGAAAAAGAGGACAAAATATGACCAAAAAAGCCCATACTGCGTTAGTCACGCAGTGCAAATATGATGATAAATATTGGAAAATCAGTCATGGAAAATCAGTCATTAATCGCACAATATATGTAAATTATTATCTGTTTATACGTGATTCTTAGAATATTATAACAATTTTCCCAAGTTGGATTCTTGAAATATTTTGGTTCATCTGGAGGCATGTATTGTTTATATACATTTGTTTAGTAAATGCAGCAGAACTATGAACATATATACAAATAATAATCTACGAATAACGTTGATATCAATTTTAAACTGAGATTTAATATGATCATTCGAAAACAAAACACATTTGTGTACACAGTCGTTATTCTACACTTTTTCAGCACAATAAGGTTATTGTTCTAAACAAATCTAAATGTTTTCGTCGTTTAAAAAAAGTTCCATATTCTAAAATGATGACCAGAAAAAACACAAGTTTTTCTAAAACGAAAATTATAATACACACTTTTTTTAAAAAAATAAGACTTTTCGGGAAATTAATAAGATTTTCTAATTAATGAATACTCACAATCATCTAAAGATATATTATGCTCAAATTTGATATTTGGAGAAAAAAAAAACAGCAACAAAAAAAAACTGACGATTACTGTAAAGTCTTTTTTTAAATGTAAAAATTAAACTTCATATCAATACACACAGAGAAAATATGTTACATTTTAAACTCTACAGGTAATCACAGTATGCAAAAAAAAAACAACAACAAAAAACTAGCAGTTTTATAAGAAGGACCAAATTAATTTGACAAGTTATAGGGAGTGCAGCTTCCCAACCATAGTTTATACATTCTCTTATTCAAATTAGACAAAGAATTTACTAAATTTCTGCGTCCAAAGATGAGCATAGTACATTTGTATATCTTTATGGATACAGAATGAACAAACATAATACAATATTTTCATTTGACAAAATCAGGTAACGTTACTAATTTAGCATAGAAACATTTCCAGTTCGTAACACACGGATGCGTATTTACTAAATAATTAAAATATAATTAAAATTCCATAAATTATTTTAATCAAACCGTTATCATAATGTATAAATATTTATATAACACTTGCGTTAAAAGTTTCCTAAGACATTCCAAAAAAGAAAATCTTCATTAATTACTTACCTCGACTTCTAAAAAAATGAAAACGAATTTTGAATGCGAAGATGATTATAATTTCGGACAGCATCGATATAATGATTTCCGAATAAACGAAGGACTAGATCGAACTTGTATAGCAATAATCAGTATCTTATAAGATAAGATGTATATTTCTTTGCTTTCTAGGGGTTTTAATAAATAACTCGAGTTCATACAAAAGCATTATTTATGTGAACTTTAAACAGCTTCGAAATGTGATAAATAAATGTTTTATCTAATTGTAATGTTACATCATGTTTTGGTGTATGTTTTAACAAATCCTACAAAAAAGCTCTGATAACAGCCGATAAAGCGAATTCATGGAATTTGAATATTTTAAATCTTATCTGTTTATTTCGAGCGTTCCGAATTCGTTTAATTGTCATTTGCAGAGAATTTCATTCAGGTTACGAGGATTGTTACAATGTCTCGTGGAATTTCACGAAACAACGCTAAGATATACAAAGGGGGAAATAAGAAAATGCTATGATTTTTTAAATCAATTTTATTTATGCGTTATTTATTTTTATTGATGAACACTCAATATTTCACGTCCATGTATATAAAAAATATGTAAAATTTACATAATTTTGGCAAAAAATTAATAAGCGATAAAAAGTTTCAAGGAAAAAAAAATGCGTCTTTGGTTTAGACTGAGAACAGTCTGTCAATGACGATGCCTTTAAAGAGGTATTGCTATCCTATTGATTTTAAAGGCCCCTTATGCATAAGAAATGTTTTTATTCTTATTTCTCAAGAACTTTTTATTTTTGGTGTCTTGTTATAGAAAAGTTACTCATTGGCCAGTTATCTGAACCACTTTTGCCTCTGTTACCTACGGAATACTGTTAGGGCCATCGTGGTTATACGTTAAAATACAGAGGGCGACAATGCGATAGTGCCACAGTGCGATGACGACAATGCGACAGTGCGATGGCGACAGTGCGATAACACTATCGCTCTGTCGTCATCGTACTATCGCGTTATCGCATTGTCGCCATCGCACTGTCGCATTGTCGTCTTCGCACTGTCGCATTCTCGTCATTGCACTGTCGCATTGTCGTCATCGCACTATCGCATTGTCGCCCTCTGTATTTTAACGTATAACCACGATGGCCCTTACGGTATTCCGTAGTTACCTGTGGCGAATCGTATAGTTATAGGGAGTTAGTCTTTTGTATGGAAGTCAAAATACTACTTTGTTTAAATTATGCTACTTTAATGACAAACAGTTTCACTTTCCGCGCTTTTTTGCACACATTTTTTCTAAACCCATTTTTAAAATGTGATAAAAGTTATTTTTTCCTTACTAAAAAAGGGGAAAAGTCTGTGCCTTTAAATTAGCTTAAACATTATTTAATCAGGCTTGATTATATAAGAAGACTTGTAGCTTATTCAAACCACGTTTCCAGTCAGTGGTGGCATATATGAAACATTGTCATGTGTCAAGAAGGACTCAAACCTTCGGTCCCTGAAGTTGAGGTGCAGCACCTTGACCTTAACTAGGCCAACGTTCCCTTCTTAAAATCTACAATAATCCAGATATTAGTTATACATGTATTTCATATAGCATATACTCATTCACATATAGACTTATTGGAATGAGCTAACAGTATTTATGTCGTCTCACTGGAATCAGCGAATATGATTATGTCGTCTCACTAGAATCAGCGAATATGATTATGTCGTCTCATTGGAATCAGCGAATATGATTATGTCGTCTCAACGGAATCAGCGAATATGATTATGTCGTCTCACTAGAATCAGCATATAGGATTATGTCGTCTCACTGGAATCAGCTCATACGATTATGTCGTCTCACTGGAATCAGCGAATGTGATTATGTCGTCTCACCGGAATCAGCGAATATGATTATGACGTCTCACTGGAACAGCGAATATGATTGTGTCGTTTCACTGAAAACAGTGAAAATGAATATGTCTTCTTACCGGAAACAGCGATTATGATTATGTAGTCTTACTGGAAGCAGCAAATATGATTATGTCGTCTCACCGGAAACAGCGAATATGATTATGTCGTCTCACTGGAATCAGCAAATCAAGAATTAGTATATAAGATTACATAGTCTGAACGGAAGCAACAGTATGACTTTACAATTAGTATGATGTCTTCGCACTGGAAACTGTGAAATTGGCTATGATCTAAAATTTAGATTGAAAGTGTTAATAATGGCTATTTAACCAATGTTGAAAATGTTAGAGCACTTTCGTTTCTTTCATGCCATTACTTATTCATATCCATAGGTTTCATCGTGCTCTGCTAAAAAAGCTGTTTTCAATTTTGAAGTAACACGTATGAAAATATTGTACAAAGTCCATGATTTACTGGACCAGCCCTCGCCAACTCCGAAAATGTTTCCATTTTCAGAAAATGATAAATGCAATAATATGTTAAAGCCTGCCATTGTTAAACTTGTCTCACGACGATAAAAACCGAGATATAACATCAAATGCCTCTTATCAGATAAAATAGGGACGCTTAAGATGCCCCCTCTTTGAAATTTGATGATAAAAATTCAATGCGACAACGAATATACATTTCATGGTCTCTTTTATACATGATGTCGTTGGTCCTCAGTTTAATCATTTTATTAAAGGCACATTTTGCCTCAGAAATGTCTTAAAGGCACATTTTGCCTCAGAAATGTCTTAAAGGCACATTTTGCTTCAAAAATGTATCAAAGGCACATTTTGCTCCAGAAATGTCTCAAAGGCACATTTTGCCTCAGAAATGTCTCAAAGGCATATTTTGCCTCAGAAATGTCTCAAAGGCACATTTTGCCTCAGAAATGTCTCAAAGGCACATTTTGCCTCAGAAATGTCTCAAAAGCACATTTTGCCCCAGAAATGTCTCAAAGGCACATTTTGCCTCAGAAATGTCTTAAAGGCACATTTTGCCTCAGAAATGTCTCAAAAGCACATTTTGCCCCAGAAATGTCTCAAAGGCACATTTTGCCCCAGAAATGTCCCAAAGGCACATTTTGCCTCAGATATGTCTCAAAGGCACATTTTGCCTCAGATATGTCTCAAAGGCATATTTTGCCTCAGATATGTCTCAAAGGCACATTTTGCCTCAGATATGTCTCAAAGGCACATTTTGCCCCAGAAATGTCCCAAAGGCACATTTTGCCTCAGATATGTCTCAAAGGCACATTTTGCCTCAGATATGTCTCAAAGGCACATTTTGCCTCAGAAATGTCTCAAAGGCATATTTTGCCTCAGAAATGTCTCAAAGGCATATTTTGCCTCAGATATGTCTCAAAGGCACATTTTGCCTCAGATATGTCTCAAAGGCACATTTTGCCTCAGATATGTCTCAAAGGCACATTTTGCCTCAGAAATGTCTCAAAGGCATATTTTGCCTCAGAAATGTCTCAAAGGCATATTTTGCCTCAGATATGTCTCAAAGGCACATTTTGCCTCAGATATGTCTCAAAGGCACATTTTGCCTCAGAAATGTCTCAAAGGCATATTTTGCCTCAGAAATGTCTCAAAAGCACATTTTGCCTCAGAAATGTCTCAAAAGCACATTTTGCCTCAGAAATGTCTCAAAAGCACATTTTGCCTCAGAAATGTCTCAAAGGCACATTTTGCCTCAGAAATGTCTCAAAGGCACATTTTGCCTCAGAAATGTCTCAAAGGCACATTTTGCCTCAGAAATGTCTCAAAGGCACATTTTGCCTCAGAAATGTCTCAAAGGCATATTTTGCCTCAGAAATGTCTTAAAGGCACATTTTGACTCAGAAATGTATTTTTGTTTTCTTCTGTAGAAAGGACAATTATATGTTTTATAATGTTGTAATAAAATATTTAGTACATGCAAGATCAGAAAGATGTTTATCACATTAATAAAATAGTAATTAATGTAAAATAATTTGTAATAAAGATTGCAAAATGTAAACAAAGTAGTATTTCGTCTTCCATACAAAGTACTAAATCACTATAACTTATTGCCAAAAAAAAAAATTAATCAAAAGATGGATAAGCTTTACAGTTAATGAATAATGTTTTTAGAAACTTAAAGGACAACAAAAATAAAAAGTTTTTGAGAAATACAAAGGCTTAATGGGCCTTTAAAAAATTAAAGGTTATATTGAATTTTTTTTATATTGTTCATGTTTTAATATTAAAAGGCAATCCGTCACATGCTAATTGAGCCATTTTCTGTGTTTCCTGGTTTATAACATACAAATAATATGTTTGATAAAAATTGCATTTGTTTCCATGTTGCATTAAAACAAAATTATGCCCATCTAATGTTATAAAATGAATTAACAGGTGAAAGCCAAAATAAGTTTACAATTTAACATAATTACTTTCAATTTTATAATTTACTTCGCATGAACGATTAATAAACTCATGTGGCTAAAGGAAATTTCTGTAGATCTACTAGATTTAACCTGAAACACCCAATTTACATAGAGTGGGACATTCTTTTTTATATTTTAAGAGGATTTGTTTTGTTTTTTGTATTTTAGGTCGAACACTTTTGAGTTTCGTGCGACAAAAGTTGAAAATTGCAAATTCTTTCTAAGTCAAGGGCAATAACTCTAAAAATACTAAATATATCCACACGAAAATACCTAGGTGCACAACTACACATGCTGATCAACATTTCTGTAATGCTTCATGACTCCAGATTAAATACTTTTAAGCTACGTGCAACAGAAAATGAGAACGGACGGACGGAAAAGTGTAAATCTAAATGGTCCCTCCCTAAAGTGGGGGCACAAAAATGAGCATAATGTCACTTTAACCCCTGGAATGTTGCAATGCTCTTCGCATACTCAATTTCATTAAAATCAGATAATCAATCGTTTTCGCTCCGTTACTCTACGCTAGCTATGATATGACTTTATAGGGACTTCATTGAGTTTTTTTTTCATATGACAGGTGTGGATATAAGTTTTCCAGATTTATGTACCATGCATTTGATGACATCTGGACCAATAACCTTCGTGAAAAATGTCAAATCATATGCTCAATCCGTTTTTTCCAGAATAATTATTTCTGCTTCGCAAAATGACCCAAAAATGAAAATCGTTTTAACGTTTTATACTCAAATCTGACAAAGAATCATCTTTCTGAGATCATTTGAACCGCACGAGGAGCATACCAACTACCCTGAATGCTCTCTGTACTCAGCTATGTGGGCATGGTGGTGATGTGCTGTTGGTAGTTTACCTCCTGGATCACGGCAGTAAGCCACGGGAATGTAAAATATCATATAAATAGAATACTATCCAATATGTCGTTGAATTCCGAACACCTCGCCGATTATACAATTACATCCCGGATGTGTAGTTTTATCACGTGACTTTTGATGCACGGTATAATCTTTGAAAAATTAACATGATAAATGATAATCAGAAACAATCTAAAAATACCTATTGACATACAATTACAACCAAATTCGAAATATCAACAGGTACAGACGATTCTCGTTATCTTGTAGCGGACAGAACCGTCGACCAGTACATGTATATGTTTAAAAAAAACACACGACATTAAGCATATAAATGTATGTTATATAAAGTATATAAATGTATGTTATATACTTTTTACTTTACGATGCGTATCTCAAACACTTAATTTAGGTCGACTTTTACACAATATAATGAAATAAAGTAATTAAACAAATCCTTTAATTTACGACTAAATTTGTTAACATGCTTGTATTTTAAATTTGTATTCTATTTCAGACCGAAATACCGTATTCATATAGATTGAATAGGTTGCGATTTTATGGTGTTATTCTTTTGTATAATATTTGGAAGAAAAAAAGAAGTACAACAGGCAAACCAAAATATTTCAAGAGGAACAAAAAATGGTGACATTCATTGAATGTTTTAATAAATGAATTTGGTGGTTATTACACTTACATGTATATACTTACAGTAATTTTTAATGAAACTCGAACAGAACTTGTGGTTTGTAGAATGATGTATTGACCCTCACTAATACTGTAATAACGATTCATCGATGCGACTATCGATGATATCGGCCAGGCCCAAGAAAGAACTGCCGCTTCGCATTGTACATTGTTTGTATAACATAACCTAATCACAAAAGTGACTACATGAGGTTCATTTTTGCTAAATGCTATACGTAAACCAATTCTTGCTGATTTAATAAAATTGTTTGTGTGTTTTTTTCCTTTAAAGATTGTATGACTTTGAAAACAGTAAAAAGTTTATTTATTAAAGAAAAACAGTAGCTAAGAACATTACATTGTGTATACTGTTTTGTGAAAACACCGAACCTTACACGTGAATTTATACACAGATGCTTGTGTCACAAACTGTAAGTTATACGTATACTGAACGGTTAAATCCAATTGAAATATGCTTAGAACATATACTTTGTCTACTGTCTTGAAATGTTTCCTAACAAAGAACCTATGGCTCCGGCGATTATTTCTCCTAGACCTATTCTTCTTGGTGGTGACTGATGGGAATGAAAAGGTGGAGAAAGCCTTCTCATCATTCGTCCACGTCTTAGGCCGCGGTAAGGTCCCATACCTATTACTTCCGGTGGAACAAAAAATGGCGGTGGACGTAAAAATACCGGCAAAAGAGGACCACCAAATGGTCGGCCTAGACCACGTTGTCCGGGAAAAGGAACTCCTACAGGCACCGGCATTAGTGGTAAACCTCTCGGTGGTCCCGTTATATGCGGATGAATTATCCCAGGTAAAAAAGGAGGTCTGTTTCCTCTTGTTGCATCTAAGGAATGTGAATGATCATGCATATTTGGTGCATCATGATGGTCATCTGGAAAAAACGGAATGTTATTTCTAGGCGCAGATATAACAACAGGTGTACCACTCACAGGATCGACGAAACTTTGTCTATGAGCCCCAGCACTTTCTGACATGTGGTCGTGATGACCGGATGAATGTGTATCTCTATGAACAGCCGGATGAGGAGAATTGTTACCGTGCTGTCCTGGCAAATCAACATGTGAACCAGTCTGTCTGTGATTAGCTGGAAATAGATGTTCGTTATCATGTTGTCCTGATAAACCAATGTGAGATCCAGACTGTCTGTGAACAGCCGGAAGTGGAGAATCGTTACCGTGCTGTCCTGGTAAGTCAACGTGGGAACCAGTCTGTCTGTGATTAGCTGGAAATAGATGTTCGTTACCATGTTGTCCTGATAAACCAATGTGAGATCCAGACTGCCTGTGAACAGCCGGAAGTGGAGAATCGTTACCGTGCTGCCCTGGTAAGTCAACGTGGGAACCAGGTGAAATAAGATGCGGTCCTTGTGAATTAGCCTGTGAACCAGACTGTCTATGAACAGCCGGAAATGGAGATTCGTTGCCGTGCTGCCCTGGTAAATCAACATGGGCATTAGAGTGGCTCGTGTGTAAATCATTACCATGTTGTCGAACATGGGAAATATGGGAATTTTCACCACGATGTCTATGAATTACCGGATGCGGAGACTGGTTTCCATGCTCACCCGGAAGGTCAACATGAGAATCAGGAGCCAGCACATTTGGTAGGTTGGTTTGTCTAGAACTGTCAAACAAATGGACCTGTCCGTCTTGTACTCCGGTAAATCCTTGAACAATTCTCCTCTCTGTATCTGTAAAATATCAAATATCTTCAAAATCAAAATTTAGATTGCCATAAATATATCTCCAAAGTATGGCGGCTGATTTACCCCATGTAGACTATTCCCTTTTATTTTGCAACGAAAATGCGGAAACACAACATGGCGTCAGTCAGCTACCATACCATAATAGTTTTCCCGGTTAACTTATTTTTCAAACAAGTTCCTTTTTTTTCACTTTAGTTTTAACTGGCCCCAAAAATATACATATTATTTTTTTCTCCTAGGTTTGAACTATAAAAGTGGCGCAACAACTCAGATTTCATTGCCAATATAAAAATTATCTTAAAATTTAAAAGTCTTTCGTTACTGTATTATGACTGTTGTAAAAAAATATTAATTAAAGTTGCAAAGCCGCCCTTAAGTGGTCGGTTTTTTTCATTTATTTACAAAATTCATTGATATGACAACAATCTTCAATTTATTTTTTAGAATTTAATTGCATAGTCGTCATCGTCGTCGAGGTCGTTATTGTTATAATTATTTTCATTATTGTTGTTTGTCGCTGTTGTAGAACACATGCTATCTTTAACAATGTAACAAGTGAACAAAAAAAAAATGATAACATAACTTATACATGCATAACGCGTCACTCGCACATTTTATTATACGTCTGACAATAAAAGAATGCTTATAGAAACCGCGGCAACAACAAAAAAAAAACATTTTAATAAACTAACAAAATGATATTACAGTATATCATAACATTGATATATAACATTGATACATTGTATATCTTTGATTTAGTGTCGTCGTAAAACGTTAATAGTATTTCCGCATTCTCGCACGTGACGACCTTAACCTTCAGCTAGTAAGAAATGCCGCAAATTGATGACGCATTCTTTTTCTTTCTTTTTTTATTCTTTCTTTCTTTTTCTTTCTTTCTTTCTTTCTTTCTTTCTTTCTTCTTTCTTTCTTTCTTTCTTTTTATTTCAGCAACAACAACAACAACAAAATTATAAGAAAAAATAAAAATGAAATAAAAAAAGAAAAAATAGAAAACCAAAAATACAAACACTATAAAATTAAAAAAAAACATATTATGCTATGGAATATTTTTAGGATTTTCCTTTAATCAGACGTATCATTATTCTCTTAAATTACTATTAATAAATAATTCTAGCTGAATTTTAATGATATCTTCATATCCGTGGAGACGGAAACTAATTGTATTTAACACTTACAATAAGAAAATTTTCATTTTTTATCTCTATCTTGAATACTTTTCCTACGCAAAGACACTTGGAGTGTGGAGCTCCAAACGCCTTAAAATCCCAGATGTAAAATGTATATTTGTCAATCATTTTTCAACATTCATGACAATAATGTATTATTATAGATGTTGAAATATGTTTTTTCTTCTCTTCAAAACAGCTTATATTAAGATTTTTTTTCATATATGATAAGTAAATGTGCTAGGATTGACAAATATACATTTTATTTGGATTTTAATGCGTTTGGAGCTCCACACCCAAGTGCCCATGTTCCTACGTAGACCTCTAATATATCTCGATCATTGACATGCAATATACAATTGCCTGCATTGTTTCAATAGTTAAATCATAAACATTTCGGCCAATTCTATTGTTTTCTCGAGCGCAGTTTTCCCTCTGGTCATACGTGATCAACTAATTTCACGTCATTGTCAAGGATTTCACGTGCGAGAGTATAGAAATATGAAACTTGAAATCAATCAAAACCAAATAATGTTTCTGAAAAGCCTACAAATAAGTTTTTACTGATATGACGGCATGGTCGGGTGGTTAACACGTCAGACTAGTGATCTAAGGATCGCTTGCCTTGTGGGTTCAGACCTCGCCAGGCTCTTTGAGCAAGAAACTTAACATTCATTCCTCAGTACTGTTTGGTTTCAGAACGGGTTCGAGAGTGTGTCTATAGGCTTAAAGCTTCCTATACAATCGAACTAAAATAAGTTCTGTACAAACCAAGTTCTTACTGAATATCGACTCGAGTTAAATCATATTTGTAACAGTAAAAAATATGTTTACAGTATGCAAACTTTAGATGATTGAAAATTACCTGATAAATGTCCATGTGATGTTGTCAAGCCTATTTGGCTTATCAGTAAGCATACCTCCAAAATGCAAAATACATGGCCGTAACAAGAATTCATTTTCAAAGATGATTATTATACAGTATATTATATGATGTCCTTTTTTACTTTATACATGCGTTGATTAAGACTGAACAAAAAAAGAAGATTTCAGTTATTAAAACATTTAAAATCCATGAAAATTCTCACATTTTATGTCAATTTCTTTAAAGGAAAAGAAGAGAAAAGATACTGACTGATTAGTATAGATTCATGATTGGTCGACTAAAACATTATTTTTGTCATAATTATATATAAATAATAAGCGTTAAACAAGCCGCAAAAACATGACAGGCTATAGATAATATATTTATTGTATATGGTCCCTCCATTTCACTATAAATGTTACTTTTTTCCTTGCTTTTCATTTTTGGTACGTGTCAGTTGTGGCACTGTTGTGGCATCCACGTTCCGAGATCGCTAGCTTAATCCAAAATAGGAAATTTTATGAGCTTTAAGAACAATGTTTAGTACGTTGGTGTTTTACGCGCTTCGCACGTTTTTAAAAAAAGATCGATTGGTAGTTTGAAATATAGAATATCAGTATTCTTGCACAGTCCTTCAACAACATAAAATATCGATACCGCGATACTCTTTTGAAATGAAAGAATCGTCTGTTTTCTGGCAGATGCATTTTCATCAAAAACTTGACGGGATCAATCTGTTTCATACAATTTTTGTAATTATAGGTATTTTATACTTTGTGGTCCTCAAGTACAATCAGGATGTACTTCTGCAAGAGGCGCCGAAACATATCACAAAACAATCAAACAGAGAAATATAAGATGCAAACAAAAATAACTGGATGAAAAATCACAAGCTAAATAAAAGTCCCACACTTGTCATTTAAACCCCAATGGAGGCCTTGTTAAATGGTACCTTATGGAACAAGACCAATCTCATTTTTCGAGCCTTTAATTGCGTCCATCTTCGGATTCATTCGGAAGAACTCGACGATTATTAGTTAGTCGTATTGCGAGAAAACCGAATATAGACGGAAAGGGCCGAATATAGCGATTTCCTCGGATTCTTGGAAATCAACGAGAAGTTCCAAATAGTTAATGACATAAAAAAGCAGCCTCCGAAAAATGTAGAGCGACACCCCGAATATTTACCACGTTAATTCGTGCATGTTTAATTTACTTAAATCATAAACAAGCTATAAACGACGGAAGATATTTACTTGTTACAAACGTTTTTCCCCGCCGAGGACAAGAAACATATTTTTATAAAGCCTTCGTATCACTGTGATAATAGGGCGAATCATTAATTAAATTGGTCATTAATTGTCATATGAACTAGCCGATTGACAGGGCTTTACTTTATTTAGAGTCATCGTGAGCACAGAAAAAAAATATGTTTTCTCTTCAGATTTCATACTCTTACTACATCAGCCCATGTTATGAATAATGTCAAAAGAGGTACATATGTTTTGGGGATAAAACAACCTTTGGGATAAAAACAAGAACAATCTTTAAAAATGATATTTGGCCTAAAGTTGCAAAAATCAGTTCAATGAAGAAATGATATTATAATGATGGAATTATGACAGTTATTACTTGTTGTGATTGCAAACAGTTATGTAGGACTCTCAGTAGGGTAAGTTCAACAAACTGTACTACGAGCTGATGTATAATGCTGCATTACGTTTGAGCAATATAGTCCCTCTACGCCGTAAAAGTGATATTCCGACCCAGAACAAAAAGTAATCCAGAATCCAGCTTGGCCGTTGAAATATTTTGACTTCAGAAAGTTCTGAATCACTCGAGCCTCTATCTCAATGATCATCTGTTTTTGTTATATATTTATGTTTCGAAATTTTATTTATTAACACTGGTGGTTGGCTTTCAGAAACCAGGGCACTTTGGGGTCCGGAACGAGCTTCTAACCGTCATCCCAACTGAGTATGATTATTTAAAATCAATAAATTCCATTTATGTAAATCCTATAATACAAACTATTGTTGAGCTAGTTAAGTATAAGTGCGTTTGCAATATTTCGAAAAATGATTGGTTTGTTCATATTTTGCTTCACTTAAATGGCATGGAACTGATTGTTACGTTCATTTGTTTTAAATTGTTGTTCCAGGGGGTTGGGATGCAATGCAAGACAACAACAACAACAAAAAAACGAAACAAAACAAAACAAACAAACAATTACACAAGAATGCGATAGATCGCCTGTCAAAACAATTGTGCACGTGCCCATATTCATAACATGAGCGGCGTCACGACAAAACCAACATAGTGGGTTTGCGACCAGCATGGATCCAGACCAGCCTGCGCATCCGCGCAGTCTGGTCAGGATCCATGCTGTTCGCTTACAACTCTATAACAAGTAAAAAAACTGATAGCGAACAGCATGGATCCTGATCAGACTGCGCGGATGCGCAGGCTGGTCTGGATCCATGCTGGTCGCAAACCCATTATGTTGGTTTTGTTGTGACACGGCTCAGTCATGTACCCGTGATACCACCCACACAATCAACATTGTGACAACCCATATAATCTGTTCTGTTGTGAAATGTACGGATTATTTCAATTACAGAATTACAAATGCTTTAACCCTTTACCTCATATATACGCGAAACAACGCACTTTCGACCCCTTTAAGGCCTCAAATAGTGAAAAAATGTCCTGTTTGGGCCCCAAACACATGTTTTCGTTCGAGAAATGGTGTTAAAAAAGTGACCACTTTTTCGGCGCGGCCCCCGACCAAAATATAAATCAGGGGGTTGCCAGAAGGGGGATGTGCCCCCTTCTGTTTGGGGGTTTGAAGGGGGCGGCAGTCCCCCTCATCGCCAGAAAATTTTTGGACTTTTGAGAGGCTATAAATGACCCCATAAGAGCATAAGGTAACGTGTAACCAACGCTGAAAGCATTTGACTCTATCTCAAACCATTAAGAAGTTGCGGCACTTTGAAATCAATTTTGATGGAAAAGATCAACGCAAAATAGTGATTTTTGGCAATTTTGAGATGTCCCCTCGTTGCCATGGTAACAGGAAATTTAAGCCTGAGCATGTTGTTACAAAGGCAATGGTCCAGTCAACATTTGTGCCAAGTTTGATTAGTATTGAATCAGTTTTTAAAGTTTTATAGCAATTTGAACTTGTAACGGGAGACTTTTCAATGAAAACAGCCATTTTTCACAAAATGCTTATGAAGTAATGGGTTAATTAAGTCGAACTTTCAAAAACGTTAAAACCAGCGTAAAATAATGGAACATATCGGCATGGTCACATAAGAGGCAAAATCTACATAGTATTGTTATATAAAAATGATAATTTATTGATCATTATCACAGTGCTGTAAACAATACAAGTTTTGTATATATCAGTATGTTAAACTTGCAAATTAATAAAGTTTGCAGCATTAAGAAAACGAATACATGTATATATATATATGTAGCAAAAACGTGAACTTATTGGCAACAATAATTCCTATGTTTTTTGTTTCAGTTATTTCCCTTTAAAATATTAGCTTACATTAATTTTCTTTTTTTTTCATTTCTCACTTCATTTTTATACAAATTGTTACCATCATCAAATGAACAGAGAAAAAAAGGATAAGAATTCCATAGGTGTATTTTTATTAGTTTACTCATGCAGAATTTCCACAAACTTATTAAAGGCCTAATTTATCATGTTAATTGGTGACTTTATGCCTCAAAGTGTTAAGATGATATTCACTGATTGGTGAGATTGGCTCAAACGTTTGATACAATAACATGTCAATAACATTCGATTATGTCGGTACACCAAGTGGCCAATGAAATAATGTTTGCGTAAAATACTAAAAAAGCCGCGCTCATTTGTCATGAATAATTGCTTATTTTTGATAGATTATGACCTTAATCATGCATTAAACACTATTCTTACGTGATTGACAAGTAAAGTATAGACGTTACATTTACGTAGGTAATAATTATAATATTGATACATATATATCACACATAAAGACACATTTTACCAAATAACAAAGTAAATTAAAGCTATGAAGAGGTATTCTATAGTGGTAGGACTTTTCTGCTGCAGTTTTCTGTACACATCAGCCCAACATTCTGAAGGTATGTTCCATATACTAATGAATTATAAATATCTTTATAAATACACGTATCTTATTTTTCTTTATTGTAATTTGTTTTAAAGTTTCAATGGTTTATAACAGTTGTATAAAATATTCCTTTTGACATTCCTACAGCTTCCCGCCACTAAGATTCAAGTCAACTTTCTCTCGCAAATTTAGAAATTGTTAACAAAAAATAAAAACTGTTTAACAAATTAAGTGATTAAAACTAGCCTCATGCATTAAATTGCCTTGCAGTAAGTACCGTTAAGGAAACGTGTTTAGAATAACAATTATATTAAAAGAGGATATTCAAGTTTCTATAAATTATTTTCATAACATGAGATGAAAATAAATTACATGCTTATGGAAAAACTTGAATTTTCTGTTTAATACTTTTTTTGACCTTACGGTTCGAAAATTTTGTGTATTGGCTGAATTTAGAAGAAAATAGTCTGCCAAGATAACAATGAAAATACGTAAAATATGTTTCACTGCAGTAAATAAATCTTTACAGTGAAACTACGGAAAATGAAATTATATATTTTATTTCATCAATAATTATGATGTTTCATTGATAAGAATACTAGTATCATTAATTCTGTATTTTTCATGCATATATTGACGCGCAACGTACCACATAGGAATATAAATACAAATGCTCCTGTACATTTCTTTAATTTGTAATCGTTTTATTTTTTTTAATCTTAATCCACTTATCTAGAGGTGTGCTGCTTTGATAAAAAAAAAATAGGGCGGAATATTTCTCAATCGTCAGTTGTCGTCAATACAAATAAAAGAAAAAAGTAAGAAACGGCATTATAAGCTGACTTTAATCATTGAATGGTAGGGGAGCTTGTATTTAAAGTTAAAGATAAGCTTGATGACAAATTATGTTCATGTATCCCTACCTAACTCAGCCAAGCTTAAACAAAAACAAGAAAAAATATGTTTTATATGTACGTATACTTAACATTGACGCATGTTGAAGTGATTTTTTAAACGTATGACCACAGAAAGCTTTGGTTTGAAATTCGGGCGAAGCAAAAAAAAACAAAACAAGAGTTAAATATAAAACCTTTTTTAAAATGTCAACAGGTTAATCGCTGTTCGTTTTATGAGACTATAAGCTGTAACTTGTACATCTATAAGTATAAATACCTATGAAGGTTTTGTATTATGTCGAAGCACGTTTTAATTTCGGTGTTTATTTTTAGGGCGGCGTAGATTCACAGTACCATCTCTTTCTGACATTTTGACGAGCCCCACTGATCATGGCACTGGAGTTATCAACCTTTTCGATCCTTCTGGGGGATTTGGGGAGGCACAAGCTGGATTTGAAGGCTTAAATGACGGGTTTGCAAGTCCATCTGGCGAAATTGGAAGCGGAAGTGGGACCGCGAACGAGTTTGGAAATGCCCAAGACGGATTTGGCGGTCCTGTAGGTGGAATTGTAGATGCAAAAGGGCCAGTTCATGGAGATGCAACCATAGAATCGACAGGTCAAGGCCACGCTCATGGTCATGAAGTTCATCACAACAACGCGGAAAATGTTGTTCAAAACTCTATAGGTCAAAACTCTATAACGGACGCTCTTGGAAATGCGCCACCTCCACCTACAGGCACACACGTCGATTTGCCGGGTGAACATGGAAATCCCCACGATTTTCCAGTAATTCATCATGGTGAAGTTCCAATTCAAGATCTTCATCCAAATAGCATTGCAGCCAAAATGAATAATTTACCAGGAGACGATCATTCCGTTCCTGTCCCGATGGAGAGTTCACATGGTCCACATACTGTATCCCATGGTCCTGCCAATGTGGATCATAGCTCAAATCCATTTCATGCGACAAATGTTCATAACTTAGCCGGTAGACCCATATCAAAAGGAGGTAATTTTGAAGACTTGACCTCATTACAAAATAATGGTGATGGTTTTATGGACTTCGGTGTGCAACAACCCATACTCACAGTTGACGGGCTACTTAACCTTCCACATGATTCATCAATTACTGCGAACCATGCATCTGATCAGCACCATTCAATGCACAGTAACATAGACAGTAGCTCATCTAAAACAGACGGTTTCGTATCAAAAAGCGATGGTTTCTTTTCACCTGAAAGTGTAGGACACGTGGATACAACTCAACAATCATTCGATAAGATACCAAGTGATTTACCAGGCCATCACCAAACCCCGATAGATGGCGCGCCTGTTGTTGGTAACACTCATATTGACATGCCAGGACAGCATGGTGTTCCTATACACGGAGAACCTGTGGTTCATAGAGAAGGAAGCATTATGCAACCGGGACAAGGAGTGCCAGTAGTTGATGTTCACGTTGATATGCCGGGTGAACTCAATAACCCACAAGATGGGGGACCCGTTATTCACAGAGAAATACATCATGGTAGTGGACAACACCCTGCAGACCGAAACACAATAGACCTAAATACAGCATTGCATGGCCCCTCAATAGATGGTGTACCCAAAGTCCAACACATAGATCACAGTGGTATCCACATCGACGAGCCAGGGGTTCATGGTAACATGTTGAATGAACCTGCTCTACATCTACCGCCTGGTGCCACTGTACAAGATGCAATAGCGGCCGGAATAATCCCTGACCCTTCACTGCCTGAAGCATTTGAACATCAAACCGGAACACTGCCAGGTGCGTCTGATATTGAACCTTTAAGTAATGTACATGTTGATCTTCCTGGGGAACATGGAAATCCAATTAGTGGCCAAGCAGTTGTACATAGAGAAAATGCAGGTGGATTAGGACACCAAAATGAAGGGCTTAATATTAAAAATGCCGGAATTGGAGTAAACGTTGATAGCGTGCATGTTGACTTGCCAGGACAACATGATAATCCATTAGATGGCACGCCAGTTATTCACAGAGAAGGACAACAAAACATAGGTAATAGAGGTTTTGGTAACAAACCTGCGACGTTATCCTCGGGTGCAAGTATATTTGGAGACGTTCATGTTGATTTACCGGGAGAACATGGTAATGTTGGTGAACATCCAGTCATACACAGAGATTCATTACACACTGGACATCAGGACATCGCTCCAATGGATAATGTTCACGTTGATATGCCTGGGCAGCATGATAATCCTGCAAATGGATTCCCAACTATTCACAGAGAAACAACTCACATTGGAACTCAAGAAAGGGCACCTATTGGTAATGTTCATGTTGATTTACCGGGACAACATGGGAATCCTATAGATGGACAGCCAGTCATTCACAGAGAAGCAACACACATAGGGCCACAAGCTGATATTCCATTAGGTAATGTCCACATCGATTTACCAGGACAGCATGGAATTCCTGCCAACGGTATGCCAACTATTCATAGAGAAGTAATGCCAATGGAATCACAGGGTGGTGCACCAATGGGTAACGTGCACATTGATTTACCAGGGCAACATGGCGTTCCTGCAAATGATATGCCAACTATTCAAAGAGAAGCAACACCATTCGTACCACCAGTTGGTACACCAGTAGGTAACATGCACATTGGATCGCAAGGTGGTGCACAGATGGGCAACGTTCACATTGATTTACCAGGTCAACATGGCATTCCTGCCAACGGAATGCCAACTATTCACAGAGAAGAAACACCAATCGTACCACCAGTTGGTACACCAATGGGTAACATGCATATTGGATCGCCAGGTGGTGCACAAATGGGCAACGTTCACATTGATTTACCAGGTCAACATGGCATTCCTGCCAATGGAATGCCAACTATTCACAGAGAAGCAACACCAATCGTACCACACATTGGTGCACCAGTGGGTAACGTGCACATTGATCTACCAGGGCAACATGGCATTCCAGCTAACGGTTTGCCGACCATTCACAGAGAAGTCACACCTTTTGGACCGCAGGTAGGTGATGTGCACGTTGATTTACCAGGACAACATGGCATTCCTCCCAATGGTATCCCAACTATTCATAGAGGAGCAACAGAAATAGGAATACAAGTTGGTACACCCATAGGTAACGTTCACGTTGATATGCCAGGTAACCACGGAAATCCAATGCACGGAATTCCAACTGTCCATAGGGAACCGGAAATACCAAGAGGTTTAGGTAAACCAAGTCATCCAAAACATTCTGGTATTCATATTGATGCTCCCGGAGAACATGGAAACCAGTTGAATGAGCCAGCATTGCATCTTCCTCCAGGGGCAACTATAGAAGACGCTATTGCAGCTGGGGTTATTCCAGGTCCAAAACAGTTTGATCATAGTATTTCTAAAGGAATTGTGCCAGGTATGTCTCCGGTTGTGCCAACAGGAGTGTTGCCCGGCACAAAAAATGTGCCTGTGCCCAAGAGAGTTGGAAAAGAGCTTACAAATCACGGCATATTTCCTAAACCGAATTCACTACACATACCAGGTTCAAGTAAAGGAAAAAGTCTTGGGGACATGTTAGGTTTACCAACGGTTCACTTAAAGGAATCTATCGGTATTAATGACTATGACCGTACAAACGTTGGTGTCATCGATGATAATAGTGTTTTGCTTAAAAAGGGAGGTCGGCGACGTAATGGACGTCATGGGAAACGCCGCCGCCAAGGTCGCAAATGGCATCATCTTACAACTACAACTCCTGCTCCAAAGAAATCCAGCGGAGGTGGCATTACGATAATTAGAAAAACAAATCCTAATCCTTTAGCAGTATTGGGCGATGCTTTGAGATCTGCCTTTAATAACCGAAACTCTGGAGGTGGTGGCCTTTTAGGTACTTTGATGCGATCTGTTGTCAATGCTCAACAGGGACCTCGAATTTTACCACCAGGGGGCGTTATAATGAGACCTATCAGAATACAGCCAATCGGCGGGCAACTTTTTGGACGTTTATTTGGTGGAAAGTGATAATGTATGATCAAATAACAGATAGTAGCCAATTACAAAAGATGAATATTGTCAATATTATATTTATAACTTATCAAGCAAAAAATGTCTCATAATTATCAAACATATTTAAGGTTTGAATTACAAATAATAGAAACGCTGAAATGAGATAATGGCATCTTTTATGTTTCGACTTTAGAATATATATAGAAAAATTCAGCAAGAAAATAGTACTCTATGTGCATTTGAAAGAAATAAGACTATTTCACACTATAAGATGCCTGACCAGTATTTAGGAAAGGACAAATGAAATCCATAAAAAGATATACTTGTATATATATGAACTTATCAAATACCTCTATTTTCGTTTTGAATGTTGTGTATTTGTTGATTTTTATTATTTATGTCATTTTATATGTAAAATAAATGTTTAAATGTTTGTTGATTTGTTTTTACTGGATAAGGCCTGATAAAGGTATCAAAATATAAATAATAAGTAATTCAACTATAACAAAAACTTTATTCAGTATCATAAAAGTGCTATAATAAATATAAAACAGTAACATATTTAATAATAATCTATGATAATATAAACTTGATATTTAGTTTGAACATTGTTATAACAGCTATACACCAAGTGTCCATAGTACACTTTAATCTCCACTTTGTTTGCCGTCACAGAGGCATAATTATGTGCATACTTGGCATATTTCACAAAAGTCAAGTGTTATATTAATATGTAATATGTATAATAATAGTAGAATATCAAACAAGTTTTACAAATCATATAACTGAGAAAATTCTTGTTATTGATTACTGTGACCTTAACCTAATGATGGTCATCAAATCATGACCAACCTCCATATCTTGGATCTGTAAGCCAAAGCATTCTCAAGTTATTGGTAGGACAAGCTTTATATGGCCATGACAATGATGACCGTGACTTTTATAAGTCTCTTTATTTCGACTTAAAAAAATAAAGATAACAAATCTTCAAGTGTAATAAAAATATTTTAAATAGTTTTTAATTTAGATTTACATGATTTTACATCATATATTATTCAAACTAATGTCATTTTTGGAGTAGAAAAGTATTCTTCAAAAAAACATATCCTGAATCTATTAAAATTATGGTAACAGTTACAGTTATTTGTAATTTTTAGTATTCTTTCTGGAGATTGATCACAACTTACTACCATATAATCCATCAAACTAGAGGCAACACATTTTTTTTCTATTTGTAAACATTTCCTTACTCATTTTATGAGAAAAACATGTCAAATTTTAAAGCATTCTATAGATTTAAGTAATACCAAAATCAAGGTATTTAAATAATAAAAAGATTTTAATCAAACCGATGAATAAAGTCTGATACAACACTACAGACTGTCAGAATGAATCATTTTATTGAAGAAAAGATTGATAGAATATGTGAACACAATCCTTAATTAAATGGATAGGTCCCTATATGACACAAACCGGTCTATTAAAGATTAGTGCATTGCAATTAGAATTTTACCACAACCTATTTGTTAACAATGAGTACATGTCAATGTTTGTTGTTAAATCTATTGTTATTTAAATAAAAAGTCAGAGTAGGGATCTATCAATTTGATTCAATAGACGTTAACTGCAACTCGGCAAATGTGGGATTTTCCCACCTCAATCTGTAGGTACAAACTAACTTTTATCGTTATAGCTTCACAGTCACAATAGTTAAATCGACCTGTTTCGCTCATTTTCCAAGCTGTTACTGTAAAAGTTTGTTTGTACCTACGTTAGCAGATGGGAAAAACCCAGATATTCTTAATTCCGAAGTTAGTCTATTTATAACTTTTTAAATGCTGGGGGTTTAAAACCTTTTGTCACAGATCTAGGGACAGTTGCACTAAGAGGAGATAAAACAGAAGGTGACCCGTATGATGCTAATCTCGCCATTTTTCTCTGAGCTATCAAATGTTTTCTATCATTTCGAGGCGTTGCCGTTATCTCCACAGCAGAGTCAGGTTCATTATTGTCAAGTTTATTTTTAACTTCTGCTTCACATTCTTTCTTATCACTGTTGGTGGTTTTCATCGAATTATGTAATGCTGTCGGATCAACATCTGCACTAACTTCATGATATGTCTTCTGGTCTTTAAGATCTTCTTCAAAGCTATCATTACCCAAATCTATATCATCCATATCATTTAAATTTCCTGTTTCTTTTTCATGTTTGGCAGGCTTTGACCTTGGAAAATCTACTATAAAGTCCTCATTTATTTTCAAAATTTCCTGGAATATAGACACAGAAATGTACATTAATTTTGCAGATATGAGAAAAAAATATTAAAATATAAATTAATCAAATAATGAAAATTACAAATTGAAAAAAAAAATCATAAGGTTAGACGATATGAAATCTAATATTTATGTTATTACATTTAGGTGTATAAGATACTTATATATAATTAATCATATGGATTTGTGACAGGTTGTATGGCCCTGTATAAATGCTAGTTCGTACATGTACATGTCGTATATATGACCCGAGCTATAAGGCGAGGGCTACATTGCAAATAAGCGTTTTTACACGGCCAAAACTGCATTGTCTACTGACATATTGACAGACAGACATGAGACTGAAATGGAATATGGGGCCATTTTGTGATTTTCTTTTGTTTAATAAATGGAAAATGGTCCCTTATTTTATTATTATGGATTAAATTTTATTGACCTGTTTACAATTAGATGGCCCTCTAACCCTATACGGAACACAAACAGTTGGGGACAACAGCATTCCATAGTATGTCCCAAAGTTTCAAAATGGAACAATTTAATTGGACAAAATATAATTTCAAGTACAAAATTAGAATTAACATGATATTTAATGACTACTAGAAAAGAATGTCTAATATTAATTAACTTTACTTTATTAAAGCAATGTAAATTAACTAAAATTGGAGTTATTCATTAAGGTTACAGTGAAAACTGTCAATTTACTAGCAAAATGCCTACCTTAGGAATACTCTGGTTTTTATTTTCGACTGATAATGTTTCAATGGCTTTATCTGCTTTCTCCATAAAACAAGTTTTATCCTGAAATCAAAAGGGTATGAATTACTGTTAAGTCTATTACCCCTTAAAATACTAGCAGTGATAATTGCTTGCCTAATCTACCAGTACAGAGCCAGGCAAACAGCATGCCCAAATAGTCTGACCTGACTTGATACTGATTATACTGATTACTTTGGGCAAAAATATTCGAAATTTTTATTAATAAAGATGGGCAAAATAATGGAAACTTTTATATCTAAAGATGGGCAAAATAACAGAAATATTTATTTCCAAAGATAGGCAAAGTAATGGAAACTTTTATTTCTAAAGATGGGCAAAATAATGGAAACTCTATTTTTAAATAGGGAAAGTCCAAAAAAGCGATTAAAAGATACTGTATGATTTTAAGGCCTAGCCACCAATGTAGAACCTTTCCTAAGCTAATGGAGGAGGGATGGGGGGGGGGAGCTCTCAACAAAATAAGTTACTCATTATCGGAAAACTTAATACTTCTACCATTGTGTCCCCTTCAATTCCCTCAAAAGTTTGAATAAATCTAAGAATAATCATCATCTTATATCGATGCACTGTGAAGACCAGGATCTAAACTGTTGGCTACATATTTTTATCATAAAATACCTGTCTCCAAATTCAATGCTATGCAGATCCATAACACAAATTTAGAGGAATAAGGAATAATATCATTGCTGAACAAACCTTTGAGGCAACATTCAGTCTATCCAGAGCTTTACGCTGAGCTGCAGTCTGGGATTTGTTGGTGATGTGCGTGAATTCGGGTGAAACTTCTACAATCGGTATTTGTGAGTATCTGTACGGTGACTTATCCATTAAATTACTGCAGCACAGAACTTGTCCAACTATAAACAGATCTTCTCCAAAATTCTAAATAAAAGACACAGTAACAATTTAGTGATAAAAATGTCAAGTATCAAATATATACGCGCACCTATAGGAAGTAACATCATTTGCTATTTATTGCAAGGTTATACCTAAAAAGGATCTCTGAATTTATTTGCTGTATGTTTGAATAAAACAATACAATCTTAAGTTTTAACTGGAAATGACTTCTATTTTCAAATTTACAAGGTTATATAATACAACTCGGACAAAGGACATTAATTTTCATGTTTTAACATTTCCCACTGTTGATCCCCCCATGGTCAATTCTGTCACGACCTACAGTTTACCCTTTTGAACATAGAAGGACTGAAAGTGTGTGTAAATATGCAATAAAAACCACTGTTGACAATCTATATTTAGACATGTGACGCTTTGAAAATAAGTATTGAAATAAGCAATTTAGCTTGATACATGTACCAGGTATGGCAGCATTTATTTCTTGATGTTGTCTTAGAATTTAAATTATATATCCCAAGCAATGCTTTAATCACTTAATACAATCACTGTTTGTCATCTACATCCAAACTCCAAACAGTGATTTCATTATTGATGAATCACTGTTGGGGATATACTCTTCAATAAGTAAATATACAAAGACAGATATTATAAACATAACAATGTAGGAACCAAAAACATTAATGCTCGTACTTTAAAGCCATTCCAGAACCGTACAGCTAGGATCCCCAGTTGGCAGTCTGCCAGGTAAACCATATCACATATTCTGCAATTAAAACCACACAATTCTACAGCAAACTTATTACAGAAACCATGGAAGTATTACATGTACTTGTTTTAAAGACGTTCGCTACGGTTACACATAACTATAGCAGAATGAAAGACTTAAGTTGTATTACAGAATTTATCCATGATTTTAAAAAATATATCAGCGATAAAAAAGTTGGGTATATTTATCTAGCATAATTTAATTGCTTGATAATAAGAAATAATTTGTGATAAAACAAGTTCCTTAAGTTAATACTGACTGTACATGTTATTAAAAATGATCTAGTCCAAATTGAAAGATGGACAAGTTCATTTTAGATATTAAGCATAGTGAATGGTAAATACTTACCTATCATTCAATGAAGATTTTGCAATTCTAACAATGACACCAACAAAATCAAGTTCACCAAATGGAGGTTGTCTTCTCTTTATGTCACTTGCCCATAAAACCTAAATCAAAACATGTAAATATGAAACCTGAGGTCAAAGATATAACATAATACAATAAATTTTGTGTTGTTTCATGGGGTGGGAGGTAGTCACACTGACAAAGTCATGGTCAGCTTGCCTGGTAAAGAAAGACCTTTGTCACTTGATGCATTATTCAGACTGTATATGTAACAAATGCAATACCTTAAGTGTACACTACATGTATAATACTCTACAGGAATACAGAGTCCACATATTGTATATGCTATATGTCATGAGGAATATAGACTCCATATATTGTATACACTTTATGTCATGAGAAATACAGACTGCTGATATTGTGTACACTATATGTCACAAGGAGTACAGGCTCAAGATATTGTGTACACTATATGTCATGAGGAATACATGCTCCAGATATTGTGTACACTATATGTTATAAGGAATACAGACTCCAGATATTGTGTACACTATATGTCACAAGGAGTACAGACTCCAGATATTGTGTACACTATATGTCACGAGGAATACAAACTCCAGATATTGTGTACACTATATGTCACGAGGAATACAAACTCCAGATATTGTGTACACTTTATGTCACAAGGAATACAAACTCCAGATATTGTGTACACTATATGTCACAAGGAGTACAGACTCCAGATATTGTGTACACTATATGTCACGAGGAATACAAACTCCAGATATTGCGTATATTATATGTGATGAGTAGGGATGGCAACGAATACAAAAATCAATACTCGAGTACTTGGTCATTTTTCCGATCGAGTACTCTGTTACTCGGATGATTTCCAGTGATCTTCAAAGTTTATCTCACAATATCAACACCGTTCGCATGCTACTTTCGTTTTCTATTTAAATTCATTGAATTCGTTACCAAAAATAGGACTGCACGAGAGACAAATTTAATGAAATTAATTCAATAACATTATATTTTACAACATTTTAATTAATGCAATATCAAGTTTAAACATGTATAACAGTTCATTTATCTTTTCTGCGTGAAATAATATAGACTAATCGGCGGCAATAAAAGGTTTTAAAGGGGTCTAAATACTAGTTACCTTTATTCTTACATTCATAATAGCAATCGACCCTTTGTTGTTTTCAAAACAGTTACATTCGCTACAAACTGTTACACAATTAAAGGTAATTAAATATCATAAGAGGCTGGATGACATAAGCGACACAGGTGCGCGTGTCAAACTGTTGATCGCCTCGTAAAATTTATAGTATCATTTTCGCACCTCTGCAAGGATGTTTTGATTGCATTTAACAGGTATTTATGAAGATACATGCACATCTCCGAATTTCTGAACTAACCACGGATTTATAATATAAATCCAAGGAACTAATATACCAATCTTTCTAAATCGTGAAAGAAAATAGAAATTATATGTTTTTTTCCGAGTAATCGAATATCAATTTTGTTAACCGATATTCGGACGTTCGATCGAGTACTCGGTTAAACGGTTACTCGTTGCCATCCCTAGTGATGAGGGATAGAAACTTCATACATTGTGTACACTATATGTCACAAGGAGTACTGGCTCCACATATTATGTACTCTCCACATGAGGAATACAAACTCCAGATATTGTGTACACTATATGTCACGAGGAGTACAGACTCCAGATATTGTGTAAACTATATGTCACAAGGAATACAAACTCCAGATATTGTGTACACTATATGTCACAAGGAATACAAACTCCAGATATTGTGTACACTATATGTCACGAGGAGTACAGACTCCAGATATTGTGTACACTATATGTCACGAGGAATACAAACTCCAGATATTGCATATATTATATGTGATGAGGGATAGAAACTTCATATATTGTGTACACTATATGTCATGAGGAATACAGACTCCAGATATTGTGTACACTATATGTCACAAGGAGTACAGGCTCCAGATATTGTGTACACTATATGACTGTTATGAAGAATACAGACTCAAGCTAGTGCCCCCCACACCCCTCCCCGACCCCTATGATATGTATCAACCAGAGCACTCTCCAGATATTGTGTACACTATATGTCACGAGGAATACAAACTCCAGATATTGCATATATTATATGTGATGAGGGATAGAAACTTCATATATTGTGTACACTATATGTCATGAGGAATACAGACTCCAGATATTGTGTACACTATATGTCACAAGGAGTACAGGCTCCAGATATTGTGTACACTATATGACTGTTATGAAGAATACAGACTCAAGCTAGTGCCCCCCACACCCCTCCCCGACCCCTATGATATGTATCAACCAGAGCACTCTCCAGATATTTTGTCTTCAAATATCTATGGACAGCAATATTGCAGAAAACATAATAGTTTGAAATATCCATACCTCTCTAGGTTCATATATACTGTCTAGTATATTTTCATTAAGCTGCATTCGCCTAAACCTTGTCTGTTTGGTAGCTGTTAACTGAATGCTATGACCTGTATATTTTGACCTGTCACAAAAATAGGAATAAATATATGTCACATTTTTACTTTAAATTTAATATTTACTCATAGGGTTTAAAGAGGCGTTTATTGCATAATATTTTCATTTAATTTTTTTTTACTTACACCTCTTTACAAAATGCAAGCAAATTTAGTAACAATAAACAGCAAGCTTTTGTTTACTTGTTCATCATTTTAAAAGGAAAACGTAAAAAATATGTACTGACTGAGTAGCAAACAGTGCAGACAATAAACAGTACATAATTATGGGCCAGGTAATTATCTTGGTCTGCACTGGTTGCATAGGTAGATACAGTTGCGGACAGCAGAGTAAAGATTAATTTTTCTGGCTTGTGTTACTATCTTACGGCAATTGCCACTCATTTTATCAAAATATAATCAGTTATGATTAATCTGAATGAAGTCTTTTAATCAAGATTTAAAGCCGCATTTTATAAATATGTAGAAATATTTTGCCGTTGGTCTAAAAACCAAGCAGTCTACATTTTTATTAACCTTTTTAACAATATTGTTGTAAATCTTATCAAATACTGTTCAGAAATTATTGTTTTAAAATGAAAACCTCATAGTAACACTTTCATGAGTGGTGGTAGCCACAACAGAAATGTGATAACTTTCAAACCTTGAGTGAAAAAGAAATCCCACATTGACAGAAAAACTTAAATTTTCTGTTTATCAATACTTTTTTTCTTTTCCGATCTTACATTAAAAAAAAATCCACTTTAATATTGTGTATTGGCTGAATTTAGAAGAAAGTAGTCTAGTAAGATACCAGTGAAAATAAGTAAAATATTTTTCATTGCTGTGACAAATATATTTCTACAGTGAAAATATGGGAATGAAAATATGCATCTTATTTCATCAATATTTCTCAATTTCAATATTTCACATTTAAGGATATAATAAAATAATAAATTACCTTGACACAGATGTATTTACACTGTATATTTTGTATCTATGACCTTCCTGAAGGTCAGTTATTTCTGGTGAAGGTCGCCAAACAGTTAGTATTGTACCTAAAATATAGTGTTTTTAAATTCAACACATCATTGACATTTACCATATCTGTTAATACAAATCTTGAAGTGCAAGATGTTTAGTATATAAACTTATCAATTTTCAAATATCAAAAGATTTAAATTTCACTCATTTCTCAGACATAACAATTCTCAAAAGAGGCACTTTCAGAAATATCACTATCATTATGTAATGCAATATAAAAATTTGACCATATTTTTATTTTTAGTTTATTAATCTTTTTTCTCATTAACTTCAAAGGGAGAATATGATTAGCGTGGATGTCATCGATTGGGTGATACTGTTTCAAGCAGTCTTAAGTCCTTATTCTTAATCTGTTACATCGATTTATTTTTGTATGTAACATCAACTTCAATACAAACATAAATAGAAATTAGAGTAAAATGAAACAAGAGGAATGGTAAAATATGCCTTGAAACCAGGTTTTTTAACTAGAGCTTTTAAACTTTTCTAAATTTGAAGTAAAATTCTTGGAAAAGTTTCCAAGTTCTTTAAAACTGATCTCAGAAAACAGTTTTTTTAGGGACGGACAGACAGATGGACTGAAAGACAAATTGGACAAGGAAGAGTCACATACTATATGATATCTCTTTATAATTGGGCGCATATAACCATGGAACTCAATTATCTTAATTATTCTCCAGCTTTACTGGTGGAAGAAAACTTCAAACTCTGTAAAATCAATCTGAAATGCATTTACTGCATATTTTACTTACTGGTATTAAGGTCAAGGTCCCTGTTTGCACATCCAGCCACTCTAAATTTCAGAACTGGAGTAACTACCCTCTCTGGGAATGTCTGTGTATGTAGAAAATTCATATATAAATTGTACAGTAAGTATTTCAGATATATGCTTTGATTACTTGTTGTATTTTTAGAACTCGACACTGTAATGAAATTTAAATTTTGAAGATGGTAAACCTTTTTGTATAAAATGCGTTCCTGACATATAGATAATGCAGCCAAATTATCACAATGTTTGACCTTTACTATCCAGTGCATTATAAATACAAGGTATGTAAGTGATAATTTTTCAAATGTTATATCTGACGACGTTTTCTGCAGATAGCAGATTTATCAAGACAGTTGCCTTAGAAACAGATGACGATTATCTGCCTTACTTTTTAGCTCACCTGAGCTTGCTCAGGGTGAGCTTTTAGGATCGGTGAATGTCCGTCGTCCGTCGTCCGTCGTCCGTCGTCCGTCCGGCCGTCCACAATTACTTGTGAACACTCTAGCGGTCGCATTTTTGCCTCAATCATCATCAAACTTGGTCAGGATGCTTATCTAGTTGAAAGCTCGGATGAGTTCGAACATGGGTCATCTCGGATGAAAAACTAGGTCACAAGAGCTAAAAATAGAAAAACCTTGTGAACACTCTAGAGGTCACATTTTTGACCCAATCATCATCAAACTTGGTCAGGATGTTTGTCTAGGTGATAGCTTGGATGAGTTCGAACATGGGTCATCTCGGATGAAAAAGTAGGTTCACAGGAGCTATAAATAGAAAAAAACCTTGTGAACACTCTAGTGGTCACATTTTTGAACCAATCATCATCAAACTTGGTCAGAATGCTTGTCTAGTCAATTGCTTGGATGAGTTCGAACATGGGTCATCTCTGATGAAAAACTAGGTCACAGGAGCTAAAAATAGAAAAAACCTTGTGAACACTCTAGTGGTCACATTTTTGACCCAATCATCATCAAACTTTGTCAGGATGCTTGTTTAGATAATAGCTCGGATGAGTTCGAATATGGGTCATCTCGGATGAAAAACTAGGTCACCGGAGCTATAAATAGAAAAAACTTGTGAACACTCTAGTGGTCACATTTTGCATCAATCATCATCAAACTTGGTCAGGATGCTTATCTAGTTGATAGCTTGGATGAGTTCGAACATGGGTCATCTCGGATGAAAAAGTAGGTCACCAGAGCTAAAAATAGAAAAACCTTGTTAACACTTTAGCGGTCACATTTTGCATCAATCATCATGCAAACTTGATCAAGATGCTTGTCTAGGTGATAGCTCGGATGAGTTCGAACATGGGTCATCTCGGATGAAAAAACTAGGTCACAGGAGCTAAAAATAGAAAAACCTTGTTAACACTCTAGTGGTCACAATTTTGACTCAATTGTCATCAAACTTGGTCAGGAAACTTGTCTAGGTCATTGCTGGAATAAATCGAACATGGGACATTTCGGATGAAAAACTAGGTCACAGGAGCTAAAAATAGAAAAAAATCTTGTTAACACTCTAGTGGCTACTGTTGTGATCCAAATATTCTGTTAATTGGTCTGAAAGTTTGTTTTGATGATTTCTAAGTCAAGATCGAACATGGTCATCTTGGATGAAAAACTAGGTCACACCGCCCAATATGGAAAAACCTTGTTAACATTCTAGTGGTCACATTTTCGACTCAATTATCATCAAACTTGGTCAGGATGTTTGTCTAGGTAATTGCTTGGATGAGTTCGAAATCGCATGTGAAACTAGGTCACCGGAGCTAAAAATAGAAAAATCTTGTTAACACTCTAGTTGCTACTGTTTTGATCCAAGTATCCTGGAAATTGGTCTGAAAGTTTGTTTTGATGATTTCTAGGTCAAGTTTGAATATGTGTCACCTGGGTAAAAAACTAGGTCGCACTGCTCAAATATGGATAATCCTTGTTAACACTGTAGTGGTCACATTTTTGACTCACCTGTCATGAGACTTGGTCAGAATGCTTGTCTAGGTAATTGTTTGGATGAGTTTGATAATTCAGGTGAGCGATCTAGGGCCATCATGGCCCTCTTGTTTTGTTATTGATTCATTCTTAATACATGTACCATTTTATGTCAAGGATGAGATATTTTGACTAATTTCAGTGCTGTTTCTGGTGTAATTATTGTGGTGGTGGTAGTTGCCCTTGCTGGCGCTAAGGCGATGCCACTGCATTTCCAGAGTTCGGGATAAAATCTACTGTAAAACACTTATTATTCGCGAGAAATTTATTTTCGCTAATATTCGCGAGTGTTCTAAGACGCGAATTCATATTTCTCGCGAATGTTTCACTTTGTCTATACAATACAATACAATATACAATACAAATACTTAATCGTTTACTACAGGTTAGGCAAATTACAGTTCCGTTTAATTAATTTTTGTCTGCTTTCCTTTGAATGGCTAATCAGTGAAACTTTAACACTTTGACAAACACAGTAAACACATATCAAATAATTATCAAACTTTATTGACATATTTTTAGACAGACAGTTTCACTTTACAAGAAGATTAGCAAGCTATCAGAAAAATCGATACAGATATAAATGCATTCGTCGCACAATGAACGATGCAAAGTTAGTGAACTGACAGGACAGAAAATATCCGAATGACATTAGGATTCCGGTTTCACATTTTTCGGGAAGACGCGAATTCATGTTGACGCGAAATAATTATTTTGGACATTTTGCCTCAAATTCGTGAAATAAGGTTCTCGCGAAAAATAAGTGTTTTACAGTATTTTAGAAAGTGATGTGTCCATCATTAGCAACTATTAATCATACAGAAAGCATTGATAGTTTGAATACATCTACATGTATATCATAGTTATATAAATGCAAATACTGAAATGAAAACAAAGTTCATTGTTCTCTTTTCATTCTGTTTACATAATATGTCTAGATTGTTACATGAATAATCAGAGCAAAACAAAGAACAGGGTAATTCATAGAAAAGACGCAATATCCTTCATAAATACCTCAAGTTTTTCCTGCCATGCTCTGCTGAATTTAGCGTTGAGATCGGCTTGCTTCTGTTCTTGTTGTTGACGTTTATATTCATACAGCATATTCAACTGATGGTCACTGAGGTAGTTCTACATAAAATAGACAATATATGAGTCTGGTATCACTGCAAGACCTGTATTTTTAAAATACTATCAACTTTCTCCAGTTTTATTTTTATTTTTTTAATGTTTTAAACTTTTAGTGCCACATGTACTTAATGCATTTCTGCCTGAATTTCAACTACCATGGCATATTATTTAGAGGAATCATTTTTGTATATGAAGTTAGTATTTTGAAGAAATTATTTACCTTAATTAAGATATTGAGCAACTTACATATAAATGCAATGCTAAACCAACTTAAAATAACACTGAAATATTTTCTTTAGGGAACATTTTAATCTGTTTCAATAACATTAGTCATGTGTGTTAAAATGACCAAAATACTTTTTTGCAAAAATTCTTGTGAACTATATTCTTACAAAGATTGAAAACAACACAATTGTACCCTTTACAAATACCATATTGTGCATTTGACATTTACAGTTTTATACACCTTTAAAGGGTAAAAAGCTAGATCTAATGACGTATCTTTTATAAAATTTTATAATGGTTAAATCATCATTCTTCTATAATCTTACGATGGATTCTCAAAAGAATTGTTGCATCAAGTGTGTCTGTTATTTAACAAACATGATTATTGGTCTGTTATTTAACAAACATGATTATTGGTGTGTAATTTAACAAACATGACAATTGTATGTATACAGAATAGAATGTTCCAGATTAAATTATGCTGCTTTTTTTAGTATTTTTTTTTATTTGTTCAGAAAAGACTTTGTGCATGCAACATTCACTAAGAAAATTTACAAACATGTTTTTTTCACACAGAAATTTGAAATTCTTTCTTTTCAGCGTTCAAATATATATTTTGTAAACCACAGTCAGCAAACATACTGCTTTATATGCTTTAATGTGACTTGAAATTTTATACAGACATTTGTTTTTTTTGACATACCTGTATCATATCTGGTTGGGCTGCGGTTTCCATGGCATCATAAATATCCTGCCCACATTGTAGATTTTCTATATCACTACGCTTAAACTTTGTCATACCACTTCTTCTTCTCTCTACCAAACAACAATTAATACACAAAATATCACATATTTCTTTGTAATGATAATAAGCTACCACATTTCTGTAGGATTTGATCATAAGATACACTTCCCTCTCTATATTTGAAATTTGAGTTTCAAAAAAGCGTCTTATAATCGAAATGGATGGTATTATAAAATATCTTTATTTCAAAGCAGCATGCTTCCAGAATTTTTTTGCAATTTTCATGAATTCTTTAAAATAAATTAAAATTTGTAAATATGTTGTACAAGAGTACTTATAGAGTGACTTAAGGCATATCCTATCCACAGTAAATACAAAATATGCAAAAACTTGTCCCTATTTCATTAAGTAACAGGGCAGCAATGTTATATAACAAGAGCTGTCGGTAGGACAGCAACGCTCGACTATTCTTAGTGCTTGATAGTAAAAAAAAATGCTTGATACAGTTATCTCCTCCTGTTTACAGGTTGGGGTCATGATGGTGAACAAGTGTGCAAAGTTTCAAAGCCATATGTCAATGGACATTGAAAATATTTGAACTATTACAAAAACTTTAACGTAAATTCTAAGTCGAAAAAGGAACACAATTCTGTCAAAATGCTTGATAGAGTTACCTCCTCCTGTCTACAGGTTGGGGTCATGATGGTGAACAAGTGTGCAAAGTTTCAAAGCCATATGTCAATGGACTTTGAAAATATTTGAACTATTACAAAAACTTTAACGTAAATTCTAAGTCGAAAAAGGGGCATAATTCTGTCAAAATGCTTGATACAGTTACCTCCTCCTGTCTACAGGTTGGGGTCATGATGGTGAACAAGTGTGCAAAGTTTCAAAGCCATATGTCAATGGACTTTGAAAATATTTGAACTATTACAAAAACTTTAACATAAGTCTGCAGAGATCTGCCGAGGACGCGATTTTGCGCCATTGGCGCTAAAAAAATGAGAATGGCGCAGGAAAATCGGCAGGAAAGGGCCATGGGCGCATCTAAAATCTGTGCAAACAAAATTGTCTGCTGGGTTATTAAGTCATCCAGTCAAAACTGGTACCAACAGCAACATGTTACCCATGCTTCTGTAATTACGCATATTCTTGAGTTTATCCATTCCCCTATAGCTTTTGTCCATGTTATCTTCTTAACGCATTTCTTCTCATAATCCCTTTCCCACACAGATACTCATTTCTACTACCGTAAATTTAATCCAATAAAACAAACAAACACATTATACAACTACTTTATATTTAAAATGATTATCGGTCACTGAAAAAAAAGTGTTGCTATTTTAAGAAATGCTGTAAGTTACAGTATAATCTGACAGTTGTTCAATCTGACAGCACCCCTAAGGTCACTCAAGTTCACACAAGTTTTGGCTGATGAAGTGTAAAAAAAGATGTATATATCGTCATCAGAATATTTGACAGGGTGATTAACCAATCAGAGAAACATTGTGCATGACTTTTTTCATGATCAAAAGGTCTGTCGGCAAATGTCTTTGATGTATGCTGTCTACACAGAGGCATACAAGGGGCAATAAAATTCGTCAATATACAGTGGTAAGGGACATTTGGTGCAAAGTAGGAACAATTAAATGGATAATGCACAATATAAGACATTACAAGTAAGAACCAGCAATTATGTGAATAAATTTGCATATCAAATTTTTGAGCAGCCATTTAAAAAATATTTTGCCTGCAATTAATATTAGTTAGAAAGTTACCATGTAGGCATAATTTTTAATTATTGGTTAAGTACTGAATTATAAGTGAACCACTTGTCTAAGTTTTATTACCAGGGAAATTCAATTATCTACAAACTTTTTAACAGTTATTTTGGTCAATGTTTACTTATTTTCCCAAGGCCCATACTTTGGTAAAAATGGCCCATCATTTTCAGACCAAGTGGGCCCTGGGCCCAGTACTTTCAAATTCTTGGCAGATCTCTGTAAGTGGTTACGCCGACGCCGACGCTCGGGTGACTACAATAGCTCTACTTATTCTTATCGAATAGTCAAGCTAAAAATTGTATATTTTGTCATTTTTATTTAAATTAAACCTTCAAAGTATCACTAAGATTCTGACTTTTTGAGATTTAGCTTACTCACATGAAGGTATGCAGTTTATGAGGCTTTGTTGTACAATACTGCATGCACTACATGGAATTTTGATAAACAAACATGTCTTTAATCACAAACCAGCATGCTGACTGATTAATTACAAAGCATCTGAACTTCATATTGCCCAATATTATACAACAGTGTACTCAATATCAAAAATAATTTTCATTCTAACAATGCTTTGTTTTGAAAGGGAAAGAAAACAATGTGAGTCTGTATTTGTTTAAACATCAGAGTTTCTTCCCTTTGTCAGTTTAGCTTTTCCATTCTGCTTGAAAAATACTCTGATAAGCCCTCATTTAAAACTAGGAATATGTCCTTAGGACACAGATTCTCTAACCATATATAACAAAGAATGAACTAGAGGAAATGTCCTCATTTTTTCATCAATTTTTTCTTGTTCTCTATGTAGAACTATTATTATAGAAAGAACTACTCTGAATAACAATTACATGTATTCAGTACAAGTGGTTCATAAAGACATTTAGTTTAAACAAATATATTTTAAGTTGATTGTGAAGCTCTAACTTTATTGAAACATTCACGAATCCGTTTCTGGCTTCAACCAGTACTAAGCAATGCCAGCAAAGTTTCTAGCTAACGAAAAAAATGACTTGCCCCTGATGGGGTTCCAACCCATGTAGCCAGCAATCTTTAAATTACTAGTCTGATGGTACAACAACTCGCTCACAAAGACATTTGAGCCGTGTCAATACAAAACCAACATAGTGGGTTTGTGACCAGCATGGATCCAGACCAGCCTGCGCATCCGCGCAGTCTGATCAGGATCCATGCTGTTCGCTATCAGTTTCTTTACTTGTAATAGGGTTTATAAGCGAACAGCATGGATCCTGATCAGACTGCGCGGATGCGCAGGCTGGTCTGGATCCATGCTGGTCGCAAACGCATTATGTTGGTTTTGTCGTGACGCGGCTCATTTTATCATGGAAGTAAAAAAAGTACCTAATTTTTCTTCTTTTTCTGCCGTTTGTTCCATCTGTCTGTACACTTTCTCCATCTCACGCTGTTTACGTGTATCAAACTCCTGTCTCTCCCGGTCCTCGCACCTTCGTGTACGAAATACACACCCTCCTCCATTCAACTTCTCCATATACTGTCAATAAATAACCTTAATAATTTCAATTGTTTAACATAAGCTGGTAACAGTGAAATAAAATTTTACAAAGAATTATTGTACATGTTGACAATGCATTTTCTATCCAAATAGCTAGTAATAAGTATCCAATAACTGTGGTTCTCAAAATTATTAAAGTCTAGTTTCTGTGACAACAAGTGAAATTAAGCATGCCAACAACTTTTTTTCTTTTAATTATTCAATTACCTTGAAGAAAATAAATAAGTTCTTTTTTTTTTTTTCTAATTAGTAAACTTTTTCATTTCTGAAATCATTGAAAATATAATAATTCAGCTGACTGTCCATGCAAAAGCCTGAAATAAAATGTATGCTTGCTGTCAGAGGCCAAACACAAAACTGCTGAATAGGCTGAAGGACATGCAACGGCAGAGAAAATTTAATAATGTCACGTCTTCCTAAATAAGTATGCATAAACTAAGTGATCCGAGGGTGGGGCAAATTTGATTCTGCAGCACATCCTATCACAAGGAAAGACTATGTGCCAAATATCAAAGTCCTGGGCATTATTGTTTTCATAGAAGGCAGTCACAAAAGTGGCCCTTAGGACAAGGCTATTTATAAAGTTAAAAATCTACCAAGTGGTTAAAGAGGAGATATTTTTTATAGAGCTTGTGTATAACAACACACTGCAGACTTGGGGTTTAACTAAAAAAATGTCTATGGCAAAAGAACTTTACCAGTGTTGGATATTTTCGCACTATAACAACATCAATCACACCAGCTATTCCTCCATCCCCATCAAGCCCAGACAGGGGCACACAGAGGGGTCGAGGATCCCGTTGGTAACCCAGGGTGCTGTCCCATGGAGCAGGCCGGGTGGAGTTTCTACAGATTTTTAACATTACAGATGAGGGTGCCTGGAAGAAATAGTTTAATAAAATACATACATCAAACACAAGCACCAGGGTAGCAGAAAAATGTCTCGTTTTTTTTTTTTTTTTCAAAAAAAAGTTAAGAATATTTATATATGAAATTGTGGTAAGTATAGTTTCTCTCTAGCTTAAATGCAAAATTTTTTGGTGAAATTTGGCATAAAGATTGTTTCACTAACTAATGAAATAACTTTATAATGTCACTTGCTTGTTGCATATGAATCCTGTTTCAAGAAAATTACTTTGTGACTTTTTTTGAATAATGATCTCTGTCATGTGTTGTACTTCATATCAGTCCTAAAAGTACCCCAACCATTCGGTGCCACAACTCTTTTTTTTTTATATAATGAATACAGAGCACATATTAAATGCCCAAAGAAACTATCTGTCTACGAATACTCTTTAAAGTATCACTATTTCTCGAATCAAATATAGTATTTTACAACTGAATTAAAACTAGGGGTGTATATTTTACCTCCAGGGGTGTGCATGCATCCTCGCCACCAATCAAATCTGCACCTGTTATACAAAGTTTATGTCCCACACAGATCTTTCCCTGTAGGACAAGTTGTGTTAGAGGACCGTCTATCTGTGTAGGGATACCGTACCAACCATCAGTTAACTCAAGATGTACCTGTTAAAAGAGAAATATTTTATTCATTTTTTATTTTTATTTGGTCGGTTTTTATTGACAGTCACAGTGAAACTATTAAGGTCTGGTCATATTGCTACTTTCCAGCTTTACTGGAGGAAACCCTCAGTTGCACACGAGTAGAACCACTGACCTTACGTTAGTTAACTAGATGGCTTCCTCACAAGAAAGAATCTGAAGTCAGTCGGGAATTCAAACCAACCAGCAGTGCGGCACAAGTTGCTAAAAATTAATTATGGAGGTTCCAGAATGAAGGAGAAATAACTTCTTTGTCTTGAGACACAAAATCACAAGATTTGAATGTATGTTGGCAATAAAAACATATTGTTTTGGTAATTTGAAAAATAAATTATTTCAGAAAACTCAATACAAGAAGCGCCGCAATGCGACGAAAACCAGGTTTTCAACGACCAAGTTTTGATGTGACAGCAATCAATAGGTCAAAAAGCACTGAAGTTATTGAGTAGAAGCTGAAAGTTCTATTGTAAGCAAATGACCTTGAACTTGCTCCAAGATATCTAAGTGGCAATCCAAAGCTGCCACTCAGCAAGTTTGGTGTCAAAAGGTCAAAGCAAACTCAAGTTATAACATGAAAACTAAATACATGTACATTAACCTTGATCACAGACACCTGGGTAGCAATCCCAAGCTGCCTCTTGATATAAGCTACCCATTCATCAAGTTTGGTGTCATTAGGCCAAAGCAAACTCAAGTTACTGAGCAGAAACAGTGGCCTTGACCTTGATAACAGACACCTGGGTAGCAATCCCAAGCTGCCTCTTGATATAAGCCATCCATACACCAAGTTTGGTGTCAATAAGCCAAAGCAAACTCAAGTTATACAGCAGAAACTGAATTTCTATTTTTAGTAACAGTGACCTTGACCTTGATCACAGACACCTGGGTATCAATCCCAAGCTGTCTCTTGATATAAGCAATCCATACACCAAGTTTTGTGTCAATTAGCCAAAGCAAACTCAAGTTATACAGCAGAAACTGAATTTCTATTTTTAGTAACAGTGACCTTGACCTTGATCACAGACACCTTGGTAGCAATCCCAAGAGCTGCCTCTTGATATAAGCTATCCATACACCAAGTTTGGTGTCAATAGGCCAAAGCACACTTAAGTTATTGAGCAGAAACTGAATTTCTATTTTAAGTAACAGTGACCTTGACCTTGATTACAGACACCTGAGTAGCAATCCCAAGCTGCCTCTTGATATAAGCTATCCATACACCAAATTTGGTGTCAATAGGCCATAGCAAACTGAAGTTATTGAGCGGATCTGAATTTCTATTTTTAGTAACAGTGACCTTGACCTTGATCACAGACACCTGGGAAGCAATCCCAAGCTACCTCTTGATATAAGCTACCTTCACACCAAGTTTGGTGTCAATAGGCCAAAGCAAACTAAAGTTATTGAGCGGAAACCAAAAGTTGACGCCCGCCCGCCCGCTCGCCGACTTCGGCATTACAATAACCTAGTTTTCGTTGAAAACCTGGTTAATAATCACACTAACATTTTCTGGTATCATTATCTTTATCATTAGTTTTGATGTAGGCATAATAATTATTAGCCAGTGTTCAATTACCCCCTGATTTAAGCCTGATTTAGTCTGGTCTGTTTTTGTTTCTTGTAAATCATGTCTTCTCACAGCAGCAACACAGAGTACCAGTCTCTTGCTTGGTGTATCATCCTTTTCATAAATCTTCTTCAAAGATGACCTTAAAAAAAGTCATATATTTACAATAAATGTTCAGGTCAACTAATAAGTGGCAATCTGACAAACCAGTTACATGGGGGTATCAACTGCTAATTTTCTAACCAACTGCTAACTATTTTCTGACCTCAATATGCAAGGTTACACTTGTGAAAATGTGAATTCCTCAAAACATCATAAGATTTTCCCTTAAAGTGTATAAAGCTATTTCTGATGAATTAATTCATAAAAACTCAAAATCAGTAAAAGTATGTTGTTTTAATAACCTTATGGCCATTTCTTAAAATTAACTAACTTCTGATTCCCCCCACCCCCGCCCCCTCTTTTTCACTCACATTTTTATGATCCTTATATAATCCGATGTATACATATATTTCAGTAGTGAGAACATACCTTTGTGATTGGTCCACTTCTCTATCATATCTATATTTAAGTTGTAACATAACCATGTCAGGGGTCAGAGACCTGAAATATAATCAAAATTTAAAATTCCAAAAATATATTGGACATCCACAAAATGGAACTGGAAAGTTTATTAATTAAACTTCAACATAAAATAAATTAACACCCAAAGGCAGCCAAAATTAAAGAAGTAAGGTCAAACCTTTTTGCCAATGAATTAAGATTGATTGGCTTAACGTTAGAAAAAAAGAATCCAAAAAAAAACCTTTAAAATGGTTGCCATTAAAGCCCTTGTAAGGGAAAAAAAAATGAAAAAAAAACCCCTTAAAAAAAGGGTGAAGAAAAAACGCAAATCCATGCTCGCCTTGCCAACTTGGTCAAAAAAAGAATTCCAAAAAAATTTAAAAAACAAATAAAAATTGGTTAAAAAAAACCACCCGTCAAATGGTGTTCTTTTAAACGGCTGTAAATAAAAAAAGGAATTATTGCTAAAAAGTCAGTTCATTTATTTTAAAAACATGAAAATTTTCCCCCCTTTTTGAAAAAAAAAATTTTTTTAAAGAAAGGTATTGTAAATAAATTAATTTAAATTTACCCTTAGCCCTCAACAGATGATGTTTTTCATAGGCAGCTAGTTTCCATATAATCCATCTGTAGTGGTTGAAGACCCATGATTCACTGATCAATTTAGCATCTACACCTTCTATGGTCAGGAACCCCCTAAAAATGTTGCCAAATAAATGAGAAACATTTGTAGTGTACAGATGTTATCATACCATAAAATATGGATTCATTTATTAGAACCATATGGATTCATTTACAAGAACCATATGGATTCATTTATATGAGCCATATTTCCATAAAAGAAACATGGTTTAAAAAACATATATTCTTTAAAAAATATATCATTTAAAAACAAATTTTATGATCAAAAAGTCGGAAGGACATTTAATTTGTTATAAAATTTATAAACAACATTTTGAACCAAAAACCCGTAAATTTTTAAATCATTTTTATTAAATTTAATTTTAATTGCATTTAAAATTTTTTTTTACCTGTAAAATTCGTGTTTACCAAGATATCCAGCATCGTCAGGAACAATGTAAGCCCCGTCTCCAATCTTTGCATGAGCTGTATTTTTACCATAGTAAAGTTCCATTGAAAACTTGTAATTAGCTGCATATGCTGATTTTACTATGGCAGGCCTATCTAACACCTGATACAGAAATGAATTACATACTAGTAAGTTATCAGTCATGGTTACTTGTTATCATAGAAAGGAGACAATTTTGTCATAGTAAGGTGGCAATTTTGTCATAGTAAGGTGGCAATTTTGTCGTAGAAAGGAGGCAATTCTATCTTCGAAAGGAGGCTATTATGTTATATAAAGGTGGCAATTACATCTTAGAAAGGAGGCTGTTATGTTTTAGAAAGGAGGCAATGATATCTTAGAAAGTCAAATATTACAGTCTACGAGCAATTTTCAATGACGTTAAGGGTTAGACTTATATATAGAGTTATCTATAACATATAAAATATAAAGTCTTGGTAGTAATATGTAGTAATTAACATACATGAACTTGATTATTTATGAGCTTAATCTATCTAATATTAATGGACTTTGCTTTGATTTTTAAACTACCCGTTGTAGTTTTAAAGGATTTCAAAAATTTAATACAAAACTACCAAAAGTAGGCAGCCAACAAAATAAAGTCTAAAATGACTGATACTGAAATTCAAATTACCATATTCAAACACAAAGAATATTTTCATAGTAGTAAACAATACTCCTCACCTGATTCAGCTCATCTATTACATCAGTAAGTTTTATTTTATTTTCCGTTTGTTTCATTCGCCATAACTTTCCTGCAACAGGATGCACCCGGCCAATTGCTCTCTGCTTAATTATCTCCTCCTGATGCCGTCGCGCCTCCACCAGCGTACAATAATACACATCATCCTCGTCTTGACTGAATGAATCAAACTCACTTTGTTCCCCCTTCTGTCCAGATTCAGAGAGATCACAATCTAGACTATTTTTCACTAAAACAGTCTCCAATTTTTTAACATTTTTCGATTTCGCATCTAAGGTGTTACAAGTAACATTTTCTTCACTAGATATTTCCTGACATGATTCACTGTTTCCTTGCAAAGCAGTGTCATTTTTACATGGTTCAATTATTTGCTTATCATCCTTTACAGTAGTTGCTATAGAAACAAAATCTGCTGTTGGAATAGGTTCTTTTAACTTGTCTGTCCTTTCAGAAGGGTGCATAATACTTGTATTTCGACAGTCACCGGACGAGGAAATTTCAAGAGTGTTCACTGTAGACGAGCCATGATGATTCCCATCCCCTGCTCCAATGCCAAAACCTGAATCAGACTTTGGTATTGACCTGTGTGCTTTATCAGTAGTGCTTGGAGGAAGGTTGTTTTTTTCTGACTTATTTCGGTAAGGTGTCTGGAATGAAGACTTGGAATCAGAACTTGAAAAAGTAGTTCCTTCATGTTTAGCACTACCAGGTCCTGCATCTTTTCTGAAATAATGGAAACATAAAATTTTAATGTTGTTGTTTTCCCCCAGCATGAATGAAAAATTTGCAAATGTCCTTTTAAATACATTGTTAAAGGAAATTTTATACAATGCAGTTTTCTTTCATAATGCATGTCAAAGTATACAATACAGAATTGATTTTTTTTCCCCTTTTAAGATACAAACAAAAATTATTTTGTCAAACTTTTAAGTATAAAAATAACGTTAAATGGATTTTTTTAACTAAGTGTATAATTCATAAACATATTCTATACCAAAGAAAAACGTATAGTCACCTGTCTGTTTTACTGTCTGTGATTTTACAGAATACAGGTTTGAATGGTCTAAACCCAGGGTGACGTTTATCTGTTGATGCCACTGAAACTTTGCAAAACAAACCATTAAAGTCATACATTATTTATACTGATTACATGTATATTGATTTAATACTTACTTCTTATTTTTACTTTATAATGCTTAACATGCTTTGTCAAGAAATAAAAAGATCATATATTATTACTAAGGTCATGAAGAATTAAAAGTTTTTATTAGGATTCAAACCCAGGTGTGAGAGGCAAGTTGTTTAAGGTACACAGCCATGAAGCCCCCACTAACGCCTATCATCACGTTGCAATTTAAAGATTAATTTTTCAATGATATATGATAAAGCAAGTAAACAAATATCTATTTCCACTCTAAATATTTTAGAGAATGACAATATATTGAGCAAACATTTAGCTGAAAATTACTGATGTCATGTCTGACATGTACACATTACTTTCCTACCTCCCAGTGTATGCTGTATAGAAAAACACTATACACATGGAGGAAATAATGTAAATGGTTTTGTTTGTTTGATTGGGTTTAAAGTCACACTGACACAGTACAGGTCATATGGCAACGTTCCAGCTTTACTGGTGGAGGAAGACCTCAGATGCCCTTCCATGCATTATTACAGGCTCGAACAGGCACCTGAGTAGAACCACCGACATTCCGTAAGCTAGCTGGATAGCTTCCTCACATGAAATATTCCAAAGTCCCTGTCGGGATTTGAACCCACAGCGGTGAGGGGCAAGTAGGATAACGACCTACACCACTCGGCCATGGACACCCCATGAATGTAAATGGTGTAAGAATTCAATTTCCAACATGATACATAGAAAACAGTGATACTAATAACTAACTTCACTTAAAAACTTCTCTTATTTCATTATCTTTCTTAAATTAATCTTGAATGAAATTTCTACAATTTGAGGAAAACAGCTCAACAAAAGATTTAATAAAACATATACCTCTGAAAGCATATATAAACCTTGTCATTTGATTTCAATATCATTATTTGGCATAAAATTTTAGCAAACTTGATCTTTGAAGCATTTAATACTACCGGTATGTCTTCTTATGAAAATTAGATAGTTGGTTACATTTCCTATAAATACCTTCATTTGAGTTTCTACCAGGTTTTCTTCTACCTAGAGGGCCTTCATCTGTAACAGAATGTAGATTGCATCAAATTTCAAATCTTTTATCTATTTCACATCCTTACAACTTAATTCAAGGTTTTCAAATCCTTGTTCTGTTGGAAGTTAGTCTTTAAACTTATTATTAGAAATGACATAAATTTTTACAGATAACAACAGCTGTCTGTATGAGAGCAAGTGCGACTTTTCATGGTGCTTAACAGTAACAAAAGGGGCATAATTATGTAAAAATATAACTAGGAGTTATGAGACTTGCACCCAACACGCTAGATAACCACAGAGAACAAATTCTTGAAGTTTCAACAAATTCCCTTCAATAGTTTTGGAGATACCAACTTGCATGGAAAAACTTTACCAAAGTGTGAGTACTTTAGCTCTCTTTATTCTTTGAATAATCAGTTAAAACAGAAATTGAAATTCAACTTTATAGTAATTTTAGTATTTATGGAACACCGTTTTTGACAATACATAACTACCTGCAAGTTTTTGAAGCACCTTCCTTTCCGTGTTCAAGTTGAGTTTTCTTCTTTTCAATGCCATTCCAAACACCTCTTCCAGATCATCATCCAGCCCACATTTAACACTCATCTCAGAGTCATCCTTTCCTGTCGATTCTGATTTCAAGATTCCTTGGACTAAATCTGAGTCAAGTCTTATTAGTTCACTTTGCCTTTCATTATTTTCAAACATTTTTTTGTTGTCTGGATTCTTAGCATTCCTTATGTAGCTTTTCGTTTCACCATTTTTACATTCAACATCAAATTTTGGTACATTTTGGACTTTGTCCATTTCACATGTATCATGCAATTGTCCTCTGGCATAATTCAAGGCTTTTTCAGACACATTAACTTTACTCCCAGAGGCTGTACTAAAGCCATCAAATTTTGGTACATTTTGGACTTTGTCCATTTCACATGTATCATGAAATTGACCTCTAGCATAATTCAAGGCTTTTTCAGACACATTAACTTTATTTCCAGAGGCTGTACTAAAACCATCAAATTTAGGTACATTTTTTGTTTTTTCTTCATCATTTGTATCAAGAAATTGACCTCTTGCATAATTCAAGGCTTTTTCTGAAACGTGAACTCTATTTCCAGAGGCTGAACTAAAGCTGTCAAATCTAGGTACATTTTGGGTTTCATCCATTTCACCTGTATCATGCAATTGCCCTCTAGCATAATTTAAGGCTTTTTCTGATATATGAACTTTATTTCCAGAGGCCGTACTAAAACCATCAAATTTTGGAACATCTTGGGTTTCATCCATTTCACCTGTATCATGCAATTGCCCTCTAGCATAATTTAAGGCTTTTTCTGATAAATGAACTTTATTTCCAGAGGCTGTACTAAAACCATTAAATTTAGGTACATTTGTGGCTTTGTCTTCATCATTTTTATCAAGAAATTGACCTCTTACAGAATTCAAGGCTTTTTCAGACACATGAACTTTATTTCCAGAAGCTGTACTAAAACCATCAAATTTTAGTACATTTTCGGCTTGGTCTATTTCATCAGTATCATGAAATTTCCCTCTAGCATGATCCAAGGCTTTTCCAGACACATTAACCTTATTTCCAGAGGCTGTACTAAAACCATCAAATTTAGGTACATTTTGGGCTTTGTCATCATTCTTTGTATCAAGAAATTGTCCTTTAGCATAATGCAAGGCTTTTTCTGAAACTAGAACTTTATTTCCAGAGGCTGTACTAAAGCCACAAAAATTAGGCACATTTTTGTCAGTGTCTTCATCATTTTTATCATGAAATTGACTTCTTGCATAATTCAAGGCTTCTTCTGAAATATTAACTTTACTTCCAGAGGCTGTACTAAAACCATCAAATTTAAGCACATTTTGAGGTTTGTCCATTTCACATGTATCATGCAATTGACCTCTTGCATAATTCAATGCCTTTTCTGACACATGAATTTTATTTCCAGACGCTGAACTAAAACCATCAAATTTTGGCACATTTATGTCTTTAACATTTCTATCATGAAATTGACCTCTTGCATAATTCAAGGCTTTTTCAGAAACATGAACCTTATTTTCAGAGGCTGTACTAAAACCATCAAATTTAGGCACATTTGTAGCTTTGTCTTCATCATTTGTATCAAGAAATTGACCTCTTGCATAATTCAAGGCTTTTTCTGACACATTAACTTTATTTCCAGATGCTGTACTAAAACCATCAAATTTAGGCATGTTTTGGGCTTCGTCTTCATCATTTATATCACAACATTGACCTTTAGCATAATTCAAGGCTTTTTCCGAAACATGAACTTTATTTCCTGATGCTGTATTAAAGCCATCCAATTTTGGTACATTTTGGACTTTGTCCATTTCACACGTATCATGCAATTGTTCTCTGGCATAATTCAATGCTTTTTCTGAAACATGTACTTTACTTCCAGAGGCTGTACTAAAACCATCGAATTTAGGCACATTTTTGTCAGTGTCTTCATCATTTGATTCATGAAACTGACCTCTAGCAAAATTCAAAGCTTTGTCTGAAACATGAACTTTATTTCCAGACGCTTTACTAAAACCATCAAATTTTGGTACATCTTGGAATTTGTCTTCATCATTCGAATCATGAAATTGCCCTCTAGCATAATTCAAGGCTTTTTCAGAAACCACAACTTTATTTCCTGATGCTGTACTAAAACCATCAAATTTAGGCACATTTTGGGCTTTGTCCACTTCACATGTATATAATTGACCTCGAGCATGATTCAAGGCTTTTTCAGAAACATGAACTTTATTTCCTGATGCTGTACTAAAACCATCAAATTTAGGCACATTACTGGCTTTTTCTTCATCATTTGAATCATGAAACTGACCTCTAGCAAAATTCAAGGCTTTTTCTGACACATAAACTTTATTTCCAGACGCTGTGCTCAAACCTTCAAATTTATGGCTACTTTGGGTTTTGACTACATCATTTGTATCATGGAATTGTCCTTTAGCATTATTCAGTGCCGTCTCTGACACAATAACTTTATTTCCAGAGGCTGTACTAAAACCATCAAATTTTGGTACACCTTGGACTTTGGCTTTTTCATCTGTATCATGGAGTTGTCCTTTAGCATAATTCAGGGCTTTCTCTGACCCATTAATTTTTAAACCAGATGCTGTTTGAAAATGAATATATCTTTGAAAATCAATAGCTTTTTCAGATCCATCAATCTCAGTAGAGTTATCACATGCACAAAGATTATCAGTTTCTGAAGTTTGAGAAAATGTTCTGACTTTAAGAATTTCATTCATATGAGCCGAGGAAGTATTTGCATTGTCACCACAAGCCTCACTGGTATTTTGGGAAACTTTATTGCACGCATGATATTCTGTTATACAGTCACTCTCATCTTTCTCATCTAATTTTCTTTGTTGTACATAATTTTCCGTCTCAAGATTTACAATATCCTCATCATTGCCTACAACAGTTCTTGTATGTCTTAGAGTTTTATCTGCAGCCTCAACCATTTGGTCTAAAGCTGTGTTAAACCTCTGAAACTCAGGTTTGCTGTCAGATTTTGCAAACTCTTCATCATTCTTAAGACCTTTGTCAATGCTACCATCTTTATTCAAAACTTCCTTTCCTTGATATGATGCTGTTTTACCTGAAGATAGATCTGTATTGCCTTTTTCCTCTGCAATTTCACATGTATCTTGCAATGTTTCAACAACAGATATAACTTTATGTTTTGATACCTCACATTTAGATGTAACAATTTCAATGTCTTTGTCAATTAATTTTATTTCATTATTACCGACATTTAGTTTTTCTCCTTCAGGAGTTATAAGTCTATCTGTATTATCTTTTACTTCATCTGACAATGGACATTCATTGACTACGTCATTCTCTGCAATCAAAGGTTTTAAATGATTGTTTTCCAACAAAGTCTGTTCATTTTCATTAGCAATCTCACATTTTGCCTCTATCAATTTAGAATCAGAGTTTTGGACACCTTCAATATTCAACAGATGTACATCCTTTGCAGTGTCTTCTGTATTTTCTCTTTCCTTTTCATAGTCTGACATCATTTGTACTGCTGACTTCAATGCAATTTTTGACACAGATATACTTTTACCTGAAGCCAAAGAAAACCCAACAAAATTTTTGTTTCCTGTCAATTTTCTATCATCAATTTCACTATGAAACACATGACTGTTCTTACTTGTTTCACAAACATCTTTTTCATTATTTATTTCTGCAAAAGTCACACAACTAATTTCCTTTTTATCATTAGCATGCCCTGATCCTTCCATTTGAGTAAAATCCATTTCATCATCAAACATTTGACTAAAATCATCAAAATCTGTAGTTGCATCATTACCTATTTTAGCATGATCTGAACAATTAGATCCTATAACATGACTTGTATTCATTTCAGCAAAATTTCTGTTTGACATGCAAACTATATCATTGAAACTGGTGTTAAGATTTGAATTATTCAAGTTAGCCTCATTTTCACTATTGGTTTCTTTCTGGAACACTTTTTGTTCTCTTTCATGTTTAAAATAGTCTGTATCTATATTGTTTGCAAGTATACTTTCTTTTGTTTCACTATACTGCAGTCCAATTTTTCTCATGGTCATGTCCGTACTTTTCATATCTGAACTACCTGTTACATGTTTTCTACCTTTACCTTTACTAATATCTTGATTAGAAGATTCAGCACTTGTAAGATCATTTCCATTTTCATTGTTCCAATCTTTTCTTTTAGATTCTGGATATTTACCAGAATCAGCTGTTCTACTAATTTTTGGTGGCTTAAAGGGACGGAAGCCTTTTGGCTTCATTGCAGCATCTGCACAAAGCTTCTCTGGTGGTTTGTTCCTAGATACAAGGTTAATAGTATGTTGTTTTTCTTCCTTTAAATGTATTTCTCTGCTTTTCTTGAATCTTTTAATTTCGTTTAACTCATCTTCAATATTCTTAGAATTTGTTTCATTATCTTGATTATGTAACTCATTTTCAAATTCTAATTTTAGTCTATCGGCAACTGACATTTTAGTATGATCTTTTTCTATGGTTTTCTGCACAGTCTGCCTAAATTCACAAGGATGCTTTAAGAAATTATTTCCATCTTTGTCACTAGGTAATTCATTCTTTTTGCCTAATGATTCTTTATAACAAGAACTAGCTGAAGAAGCTATAGCATTGGAGTTTTCATTACAGCCCAGATTCGGTTCATTTTGTCCTTCCATATCTATTCTTTCTTGCTGCAATACTGATTGTAAATTTTCAGATAATTTGTCACCACACATTCTGGACACATTAACTTCTAAATGATTTTTAAGTATAGGCTTAACAGTGCTAGTGTCAAGACATTCTTTCAAATCTAAAACATTGTCAGAATTAGAATCAATCAAAAGTTGTTCAGCTTGTTTAATACTTTCTTTACTTAATGTCATACATTTACCACTTGCTGTTTGAAATCCAACAAATTTTCCATTATTTTGAGCTTCGTCAAAAGTTCCTCTTTCTTTCTCATCAGTTACATTTGTGACTTTGGGTTTTTATTAAACATTTGTAAATTTGTTTTTCACATAAATTTTGGTGATTTTTTGGGGAATTTTCACTTTTTTTTATTTTCTACCCCAAAATTTTGGGGAATTTTTTAATTTTTGGGCTTTTTTAGACTGTTTTTCCAGTACCCATAAAATTTACTTTGACAGTATTCTTTAATAAAAAGAATACCTTCAGATTCCATCTCATCATCGAACCATTCAGAGAACTCCATGTCATTCAAACCATCACCAAGTTCCAATTCCACTTTGTTTTCTTGTAATTTTCTTACATCTTTTGTAACCATAATCTGTTTACTACAAGAACTAGGACTAAAGTTTTCTTCTTGTAATAAACTATGAGCTTTTTCTAAAGCTTTGTTTGGTATATGAAGAACTTTTCCTGATGCTGACTGGAATCCTTGAAGAAGGTTAACATCTATGCATGAGGAATTCGAACTCTGTTCATTGTTCTGTAGTAGTATATGGCTTTATCAAGCACTGCTATACAGCATGTTCTGAGTTGTTTGATATATCTAATGTGTTATGTTTTTACTTTGGCTGCCACATTGTTTACGCTCATTAACTCCCAAATTATACGCTGTTGATGAGGCTTTATCTTTTGCTTTCAAACCTTCTTTAGTCCCCGATTCAAGATTGTCATCATGAAATAAACTAACTGCTTTTGAGACTGCTTCTGATGAAATATTTAAAGCTTTCCCAGATGCACTTTCACATTAAACATCGAGATATTCCATCTATATTATAGCCAGAGATTAGTTAAGAGTTGTGATAAACATTGCTGATTTCATGTTATTATAGAAACTCATGTATTATATAATTATATCTATAAGGTCTTTCTTCAACATCATGTGCAGGTAAACATAACACTGGTTCATTTCTTTCAATATTTGTGCCTCTGACAGGTGTCACTAAATCTTTGCACTTTCTTAAAGTCTTGATTTGTGGGCATGAACCGAATTATGATTTGATCCTCCCACATTTCTTTACTCTCATTTTGAAATAAAAGACTTGTGGCTTTTTTTGTAAAGCTTGCTTAGGTATCTTTACTTGTCTTTCCTGAAGCTGTCTGGATTCCAGAAACCTCCTGGAGCTTTCTCAGGCACTGATACTTTCTACGTTCTGTAAGGAAATATAAGTTTGTGAAAATATTAGCAAGAAGAATTTCGCTTCAAGTTTACCAAACTTAAATCTCTCATCTGCAGTAAAACAAAAAATTTGAAAAAACAATTTTAAAATGACCTATTACCCATCAAAGCTACTTTACATCCCAAACATGTTTATTTACCATAACAAAATCATCGTCTAAAAAGAATTTGAACATTTTTATTGTTAAATTACCTTTCCACTTCCTACAAGCTTAAAGTCAGCAGCAGTCATTTTTTGTGTTTCTGTTGCCGCATATCACATAGTAAGATATGTTGTCTATTCTCTGTACCTCACAATGATCTTGTCTCTATTTTGATTCTAGATATATGTTGAGCAAGTGGAGAATGCTGTGCATCCATTCCCACTAATTGATTCTTCTTCCCTGAACTTAAGTATGACCATTTACATGCAGATGAATTTGTTGAGAGCTGAGACTTACGAAGCGTTATGCAAGATATAAATTCTTTAGTTTGTTTTGGCATTGTATCTCTAAACTTGCTCCATGTATTTCTGGTCTCGCAATTGATATCTGTATCAGGTCTTCTCTAATCAGTATCCAACTGAAATACTATGACATACTATCAAACCAATTAATGTGTTTTTCAAGACCTACAATTAATACATTTCTTTCAGTGCAGTATCTGGAGACCTTATAGATGAGATATAATTCCTCCTCTAGATTATTCACATCTGTCACTTTCAGGTTGTCGCTGATGCTCTCTATGTTTTTTTGGACTATTCAGATACAATTATTGTTCTTTTGGTAATCGCATGATGATTTAGCATGATTTTATAATGAGCATTAGACACCATTATTTGAGGTTAACTTTATGCTTTTCTATTTTTTCGAATGTTCCACTTTGTTATTTCTCACAGTTATCAATGAGGATTTTTATAATCTTATACATAACTGATCACTTTCTCTCATGCCCCCACATAACAGGTTTATCCTAAGATTTACTAAGATATTGTCATTTCACATTCTGCTAATAAAGTGATTAGTATGAGATCAAGTTAGACAATGCAATTTCAAGTCTGTTTATCTCGCATATTTAAACTAGTGGATCTTTCTGTAATTGTTATGATGATAAGCACTATGTTTTATCACTACATCATGCCATGTTTGCTAACTATTACTGTCTGATTAGTGGATTAACTTTTTGAGTGTTACTGAAATAAGTAAATGTTTTTGTGGATGTTTCTGAAATAATACTTTAAACCTTATTTTTTTGCCTTATAGAACAGGGACCTCTAGTCTATCGCTATATTTCCAGAATGCTTAAAAAAATTAACACTGTAAGTCAATTCAGGTAGAGAGTAACGACTGAGAATTCATTTAATGTAGGTGACACTAATGTAGTTCGTCCGTAATTACACATGAATTGGTTGTGCAAGTTCTCACAGAGTTCAAACCGGCTTACATACTGTCTCCATACTCAAGAGCTAATTTAACGTATTTCTAAGTATTGGCGTGCTTGTATTCTCTATTTACGCCCACTGCACTTCCGCTCATGGTATGACTCAAGAAGATCAAAAATCTAGAGATAAGATCATTATCCTGTACTGATATTTGTGTCTAGTAGCTCATGAATGTAGATGGAGATTTCTTCTACGTATTGGTTTAGCCTGTCTACTTTGTGAGATAAATGTCGCGAAACACTATGTAATGATGCTGCTCATTTTTTATTTTGAGATGTTATAACTGTATGTTTTATTATGTATAATATTGCCATTGTACAGGATGAATTTGTTTAATAGAGCTAATTTCTTTTCTTTCCTACCCTCAATCAGATATTAGTATATTGTATAATTCGTATCTACCGGATAAAGAATCACGCTAACAAACCCCCCCCCACTGGAGAGAATTTAAATATATCTAGGATAATAAAACTTAATCTCTCTGGCACTACTCTACGAGCAACGATGTTCCCATATATTTCTCTATTAATATACACTATCTGCTCTTATTAAAAATTGTGCCATAGCTCGACGAGTATCTCCATTGTGGTGCTATTGATTGGTTAGCTATGGAATCTTTTTAGCTCTGACCAATAAATGATCTACTTTGCCGATCTACGTTGTGAAAGTGAGATTGCAGGTGGTTTAATGTGGCACTGTATTTACAAGGTATGGTTTGTGTAAATTTGAATATTAAGAGTATATCACAATCATGTATACTCTTGAAACATACCTTCTCAACTAGAGCATTATCGAGCTGACAGATCGGAGTAATTTTTATTCGCTAATATCTTTGAGACGAGTGTCACTGTGACAGCACCTTTACTTAAGTATGTACAAAGATGAAAAAATTGGTTCCCCTGGCGTCATATGTTAGACTGTAACTTCATTACGTATATGGTTGGAGGGACGGATAGGGAAACTCTACCAGTTGCTTGGAGTCCAGTACCATACTTCTTCCTAGAGTGTTGAATATAAAGAGAGCCTTTTAGAGATAGTAAACACTTCTTAAAGCACTATGAGCAGGTGCAACAGTCCGTTTTTCAGATTGGAAATAGTGCTCTTGGCACTCGCACGCTATGGAAGTCGTTCTTGTGTTATACACGACGTCATGAGAAATATAGTCTGCTAAAGACGCAGTGTTTAAAAGTTGAACTCATTATCATAATTCGAATTCATTACCTCTTAAGAGCATCACAATTTATGGATGAGGAGCAAAATTTAATAATTTGTCAGTCATGAGTTAAAGAAGATAAGGCATCATCGTAGATTAGTTTAAACACAACATGTTGATATTTAGTAATTTTCTTAAAACTCACACATTCTATTAGCATGTTTCGGTTCATATAAGACTTTTTTTAGTTTTTGCGTTCTCTAAGATTAATTGCTTTATATTAAAATTGAGCTTAATTAACAAATATGGTTATATTAATAACTCAATAAGCATATATATATTATAAATGTAATTACTAACACCCTTTACAGTGGTCACAGGGATAACACTTTTTATTAAATAAGATTCGTAGAGATCAAATTTTAGTACAAACGTATTAGTTTCAGTCTAATATAAGTTCAATATATACATAGATAATACTGATGTCCTCCATGTAGCATGGTAATTTATAAGTATAAAAGGGTAAGACAATAATTAATTACTAAGTTAATATGCATAAGTATCACAACTCACATGAAACAATCATAGCAAAAGCACTTCAAGACATATATGTTCGACCTACAGTTTTAAGGAGTCCTAGGTTCATATTTCGCGTAATGTGATCTACCAATGCACACGAGCTTATCGCTCGTGTATCATACAAGAGTGTCGTCCACTGAGTGTATTGCAAGGAAAGGGAGAGATGTCATCGACACTTCGTAATACAAGCTCAATCGAGTCAGAGGTTGAACGAAGTGCGAGCTGAAGCGCATATCATCTCACAGAGTGTCACAGCTCATAACCAGGAGAGGAAAAGTAATGAGCTAACCACGCACAGAAAATTCCGAAATAATCTAAATGTGGAGCCATAGACCTCCAATCGTCCAGTTTAGGTGTTCATATGTTGATTAATGTTAATAATTTGTTTGAGAAATAATGTTTCTTAAATAAGTTGATTTCCATGGACTATATAGTCTCTTTATCTTAAATTAGAGTACATCATCTGAGTCCACTAGCCAATCTGAAAGACACTCCAAAGTTCACTCTTTATTAGACACAGATCGACCCATCGCTATTATCAAAATAATACTAATCTTGCTTATACTACAAAATTCTTCAAGAGATCAAGATCTGTATAAAGACGTTGAGCAGTAAATCAATATATACCTCTAAATATCGAGAAAATAAAAAGTCTAGTTAATCCCAATAAGGGCATATAGATTGCATGAGAGAAAGTAGTATGTACTGAAGCTATTCGAACACGGCACCAATGTTAGAGTGACAATATAAGAAACATCTTATTAGGTTGCCATGTATATGAAAGTAGAGATACGGTTCGCTAGAGTATAAAGTGAGAGCGTTAAATCATAAACACACAAACACAATAGTTCTATTTTTGTCCATTGTTATCACAAAAATTGTACTATACAGCAAAAAAATAAAAGAGAGTCAAGTTTATAGTAGGGTGTCAGTAACTCTCTGGACACATGTAGTCGAATCATGCTACGCACCATCTGTAATTGACCATCAATCACAAATGTATTGAGTCGAATGAACAAGAGTCTATATTATAGGTGAGAAACAAACGCGAGTTTTTTCGCATGTAGAAAATGTATCAGCAGCTATCACATAGGGGGATTTTATGACCATTTCATAAACTGATGAGTCGCTGTTGATGACAATCACCGTATTGTAATAAACGATGAGACAGGAGATATATACATAGAAGATAAGAAAAGGATGTGAATAATTTCCATACTGCCATCTACCCATATGTCAAGTTTCATAAACATATTTTTCAGTACTTTTTGTGTTATCACTGGATCCAGGTTATGTGTAAAATTTGCCATATTTTCAGTCTATTTGTTGCCATAGCAACCAGATTTTTCAACATAGGAAGAAAAGAAAAAGACGTGCATAATCTCCATACTGCCATCTATCCATATATCAAGTTTCATAAAAATATTTTCAGTACTTTTTGCGTTATCGCGGGATCCAGTTTATGTGTAAAATTTGTCATATTTTCAGTCTATTTGTTGCCATAGCAACCAGAATTTTCAACATAGGAAGAAAAGAAAAAGACGTGCATAATCTCCATACTGCCATCTATCCATATATCAAGTTTCATTAAAATATTTTCAGTACTTTTTGCGTTATTGCGGGATCCAGTTTTGTGGACGAACGGACTGACGGACGGACAGACGGACGGACTGACGGACGGACGGACGGACAGACGGACGGAGGGTAAACCTAAAGTCCCCTCCGGTAAACCGGTAGGGGACTAAAAAGTAACAGCCAATCATAGCAAAAATCAAGCAAAATAAAAAAAATTGTCATGGTCATTTATAACTCAAGGGCAAGTTCAGTCTGATCTAACTGATGGTCTTGTACAAAGGGTTGTTGTGTTCAATGAGTATGAAGACAGCCCATTAGGAAAGAAAATCATGACCAATGTATAAGTTTGTGAACAGCAATGGCAACAATACCATTACTGTGGCAATAGCTTGAATTTAGTAGAGCTTAAAGTTGAGCTTCTAACGGTATAGAGCCTGATCAGAGCATGGATGTGCATACTGGCCTGGCACAATACAATTGGTAAAGGCTCACTTTTGGTTACAGCTGTTTAAGGATTAAAGTAAATGAAAGTGCATGACAAAAAGTAAACACTTATGTCATCATACAATACTGACAATATCTGTAAGATAAGATGAAAATTTGAAAGTAAAAATACAGTCACAAAAAAAGATCAGTGAGACCTTCATTACTTGTCATTTATTCAACTTTTAAGCAAGATTAGTGCATGTACAGATTTTGCCTTAAACTCACAGCACATAATATTAGACTACCAAATCATATGATAACATAAAAGATACTTACTTTGGTTTTTGACAAATCTGCCTCATCTGTAAATGAACCTGAAAAACAATAGTTATCATATATTGAAGGATATTTTTATCTGAGATATGTGTATCAAAACTTTTCTGAAAGCAAAATTGCATATTCATACCATTATCATAACAGCAGTTCAATTTCTCTACCAATGATAACCAACTCTTCTTATTTTAGATACCAAATATATACAAGAGGGCCAAGATGGCCCTATATCGCTAACCTGACCCATCAAACTCACCCGAACAATTACCTAGACAAGCATTCTGAACAAGTTTCATGACAGGCGAGTCAAAAATGTGACCACTAGAGTGTTAACAAGAATTATCCATATTTGAGCAGTGATACCTAGTTTTTGACCCCAGGTGACCCATATTAGAACTTGACCTAGAAATCATCAAACAAACTTTCAGACCAATTTCCAGGATATTTGAATCAAAACAGTAGCCACTAGAGTGTTAACAAGATTTTTCTATTCTTCGTTCCTGTGACCTAGTTTTTCATCCGAGGTGACCCATGTTCAAACTCATCCGAGCAATTACCTAGACAAGCATCCTGACCAAGTTTGATGATAATTGAGTCAAAAATGTGACCACTAGAGTGTTAATAAGGTTTTCTATTTTTAGCTCATGTGACCTATATTTCATCCGAGATGACCCATGTTCGAACTTGACCTAGAAATCATCAAAAAAAACTTTTAGACCAATTTCAAGGATATTTGGATCAAAACAGTAGCCACTAGAGTGTTAACAAGCTTTTTCTATTTTTAGCTCCTGTGACCTAGTTTTTCATCCGAGATGACCCATGTTAGAACTCATCCAAGCTATCATGTAGACAAGCATCCTGACAAAGTTTGATGATGATTGAGTCAAAAATGTGACCACTAGAGTGTTAACAAAGTTTTTCTATTTTAAGCTCCGGTGACCTAGTTTTTCATCAGAGATGACCCATGTTCGAACTCATCCAAGCTATCATCTAGACAAGCATCCTGACAAAGTTTGATGATGATTGAGGCAAAAATGTGACCTCTACAGTGTTAAAGAAAACGTGTGGACGGATGACAGACGACTGACAACGGACATTTAGCGATCCTCATGTGAGCTAAAAAGCAATTGAAAAATTGATGTTAAAGACTTTACCAATAATTTGCTTACAGTTAACACATATACAGTGCAAAAATGATATAAAGACCACAAGATATCAGATACCTGTAAAACTGATGGTTTTCATGAATTTTGAAAGAATCTCTTTTGTCTCTATGTGCTCAAAATAGAAAATTACAAATTATTTTAAACATTATTATAGAAACTGTGAGATATGGTTTTTTGTCTTACTTCTTTTTTATTTTACTTTCTGTTCAATAACAAGAAAAATAAACTGAAGGTCCTTTCTATAAAATTTGCGAAAATTTCATGCTATACAGTCTCTAAGTTACAAGTTTAATAAGGGAGAAATGTATCAATAAGACACATATGCCCCAAAATTCAACTGTTTTGTCAGTCTTGTCAGTTTTTGATGAATGGACAACATTACCAATTCTATATAAAAACAATTGATTTTTTATTTACCCGACTTTCACTGTCATCTCTCGGGCTGGTGTTTGCCAGTGAGGTTTTGGTCCAAATTGACAATGCTGAATCCATCATGTTCCTAAGCTATTACCACCTCCCAGAACTTTGCACCGAGACAATGGTTGCTTATGCTGTTACGATTTGGTGAAGGTCCAGGGCTGAATAAAATAGAAAAATCAAACATGATTCTTTATAAACGCTGAAAGTTATAGTATACAATTAGACAGACAATAGTGTCAGCAAAAGGGCTTTCTTTTGCGGACAGGTGAGCAAAAAAAAAATTCCCGTTTTTATATTTGAATCTAAAAAAGGCTATCCAAGAAAACCACGATAATTAGTGCCCCACGAAAAAAAAACACGATTTTTGCAGTATTTAATATAATATCAAACCAGACCTCAGTCCTAGTAGTGGTCTCTCCCAGCTATCTAACTGTGGTGTATCAAAACTGATGTGTGCATTATGACCTTTCATCATTGTCACTATATCGTGCAGGGCTACTATGTCTCCACCCAGCTGGTTGTGGATCCAACTTAAAACAAGAAACAACATAAACATGTACATGTACAGGGATTCCAGTTGTTTTGATACCAGTCTAAAAATGATTGAACTAGGGTTGAAATTAACACTGAAGAATATTTTAAATAATTTGATTAACAATCTAGATTAAAAAGCAGTGCACCTGAAGATTTGTGTTTCTTTCAATGAAAACTTAAAAAACTATTTTAATGAGTAACTAGTTGTACATAGAGCAGCACACCAGACTACTCTTAGTGCTCAATAGCAAAACATTGCTTTGGTTGGCTAAAAATGTTTGTAAGAAAATAGAAATCAGGAATTTTTGTTATTGATGTTCAGCTTTACATTGCATACTAGTATAGGTCATATGGGGACTAACCAGCTTTACTTGTGGAGGAAGGCCTTAAGTGCCCCTATGTGCATTATTTCAGGCTTAAACTGGCACCTGAGTATAATCAAAGATGTTCTGTAAGCTAGCTGGATAGCTTCCTCACATAAAAGCATAAAGTCCCTTGTTAATTTCGAAACCACAGCATTTAGGGCCTAGTGATTTGAAATCAACTAACTTAGCCAGGGATGCTCTACTACAAAATTAGGCATCATTGCTATGTTCCACTTTTATGTCACAAAATTTACATTGATGTTGAATATCATACCTGCCACATGTATCAGCTGACTGACTGTAGGTGAACTTGAAGGACTGTCAATCACTGACCATCTCTGTTTAACCTTGCTACATTTACGACTCTGTATTTGACATGCTGTCAATGATTCAAACCAGGATTCCTGACTTTGACCTAACACTGAAAATCATTATTAAAGTGTTTACATAAATAGAAAAGAAACAGAAGTGTGTTAAAATTGTATTTTTACTTACCTATTACATTCAGACAACCTGACAATATCTTTGAGCATTTATAGGTTATACAAATGATGCGATCAAACAACCATACTGTATATTTCTTCATTTTTAGCATTCATAGATTACACCAATGATGTATTCAGATTATCAGATATTAAACACAAACGCTGCATTCAGACAATCATGTTTATCTTTCTTTAATTGCACCATTTATAGGTTACACAAACCACGTAATCAAACAATCATACTGTATCTTTCCTTATTTTCAGCATTCATAGAAAACATGTACATTGTATACTAATAATGAATCCAAAGTTTATTTATATAAAAACATAATTTATTGCAATTATGCAGAAAAACAGACTTAAGAGTCTGATCATTTTTACAGGTTTTAAATTTCAAGCTTCCACCGTGAGTGATTAAAAAGAAGAATGTACAATATTCCTTAGCACTTTCCTACAATGTATATTCAGAACAAGAGGGCCATGATGGCCCTAGATTGCTTACCCAAGACCTAAGATCCACTGCAGACCATTTTTGACCCAAGGGTAACAGGTGATAAAGCTTTTGTAGAGGTGCATATGTAGGTCACAGAAAATAGATTTTAAACTTGCAGCTCTAAAAATCTATTGCTGATTTTAAAATTTTAAAATCTATTTTAAGCATCTGTGACCTACATATGCAATGGATCAGAACCTTCTGAATAATTTTGCTAAAGCTTCATACAAGAAACATCACAGGCAAGTTTCATCTAATTTGACATATTAAATAATTTGAAGAAAATTATATTAATATGTCAAAGTTGACAACACATGATGTACACAGACTGTCACAGTGTGGTCACAATATATCACAGTTCAGGTAAGATAAAAAAAAAAAGATCAGCTTTTAAAAAAAAAAAAATCAAGGCCTGTAATTAAGGAAGTTCCATAGCAAATATTCAGAAGTTAGCCAATGAAATATCTGGCAATGAAAGGGTAAAGGAATTATAGTGTAAAATTAAACCTGGTTACAATTTGCATTCATAAGAGATGGCATGTACAGCTCATCAGGCATAAAGCTTTCCTATGGAAAATTTCAATGCTCAATGACCTTTTGAAGTATAATTCACTTATTATTTTAATATTACACCTACCTGATTCTAAATGTTGTCTATCTTGTACAAATGTTTTTTCTTCATGTTTTCTTGTATCTCCAGATTTCAAGATGAGACATTTTCTTAAATCATTACAGTTTGAGAGCATTGTTTAAAGACTGTGGTAGTTTTAATGCCATTCAGCTGAAAATAATAATATCATTTTTCAATGCAACACGGTTATATATTTGTACTATAGATGTTATTAAACATACATAAAGAAAATATTGAAAGTTATACCTTAGCTGTATAAGCAAATTTTTATGATTAATGAATTATAAAATTTAAAGAAGGCACCATTATGGTTCTTGGACACTGCCTTTTCTTTCGCTGGTCATTTGTCTCTCACTTTGTTATGTTTTAATCATTTTTTTCAATACTTTTCAAAGTTCTTCTCTAGGCAAGGATTATCTTTTACATGGATTATAAGGAAGATAGTTCAAAAACTAAGTAATGAAGAGTTAACAGTAATAACACTTCACTTCACCTCGTTAGCCTTTATAACTGAGTAAATTTTAATGAGATAACATTGATAGTTTAGAAGTTATACTTAATAGGACAATATTTTATTAGACCTTTTTGTATCAAGTATCATCAAGGGAGATAATCAAATAATTATGCAAGGTATATTTATGCAGAGATGTGCCGAGAATTTGAAAGTACTGTGCTCTGGGCCCACTTGGTCTGTAAATGATGGGCATTTTGTACATTTTTGTAAACTATGGGCCATTGGGAAAATAATTTAATTTTGAACTAAATGTTTTAAATTTTGGTATAAAGTTATACTGTTATTAGACCTAAATGATTGTGTAGTTTGGAGTAAAGTATTCTGAATTTTTCAAATTATTTGTCATTCTGTATGGTAAATAGTATGAACATTATTAAAAATGCTGCTCAAATCAATTATTTGTACTTCGAGTACACACTACAACAACTGTGACCAACTTTTTTTATATTCAAAGCATTTATCAGCTAATCAATTGCAAATTTATATTGAGGAGGCGTTAGAATCTTGTTTGAATCACCAATTAAGTGTAATTTTAATACCTGCACTGGTTGAAAATAATTTGTAATTGTTTTTCTAATCACCGATTTGATGCCATGTTATCTTAGAGGCCTTCGCAACATCAGTATAAAACCTGTCGATGTTCTGACAAGTTTTGACTGGATGATTAAATAACCTAACAGACAGGTTTTGTTTTTGTGCCGATACATGTCTGATACAGATTTTAGACTGCCAATGGCCCTTTGCTGCCGATTTTCCTGTGCCATTTTGATTTTTTAGCCCAAATGGCTCAAAATGGCGTCCTCAGCAGATTTCTGTTTAAGGATCTTGGACACTGCACCTAGCATTTGATTCTCTAGATATGCATTTATTTGAATTACAGTCAACCCGGCCCCAAGTTAACCCGGCCCCAAGTCAACCCTGCCTCAAAATTGGTCAACCCGGCCCCAAAATTGGTCAACCCTGCCCCACAGTATTTATATTTGGTCAATGCGGCCCCAAAATTGGTCAGTGCGGCCCCAAAATTGGTCATTCCGGCCGCAAAATATTTTTTTTTTTCAAAGAAAACTATTTAAGTCATTTTATTGTACGATGATACCTGTGATAGATGGCAGCATTCAAGTGTAAAACAGGTAAGTCTGCATTTATTTTCTTAAGTATATATTATGTATATTACAGGCTCATTTATAATTAATTCAAAAGCGTAATAAAAGTCAATGTTGTTCGTGAAACAGAAATGATCCGATTTATTTTCTATGATAAAACTGCAACTAGAAATGGAAGTTGGAATTATAGGCGTATCTGTACATTGTAAGACAGGTTCATCCTGTGACGAATTACAACAAAAAAGGTGAATAACTGAATACCATAAAACTCAATAATGTCTGGATAGTTTTGCGAGATTAATGTACAATCTTAGAAAAATGTAAAATTGCCTCCCGTCTGAAATGCAAAATATAAACAAATAATTTCAACATTAAGTAGATATCTCATATTGTTAATTGCTAAGTCTCATGAAGATATGTTGTTAATTACTTCTCTGAAAACATTTTGTACTGTATTATGAACAATTTATTGTAAAAATGTCTTAAGTACATTTTACCTATATTATGTAATAATGGCTATATGCTATATGTAGTTTAATGCCAAATAAAATATTGAATTGAATTGAATAAATCTTGATTTAATATGTATAACAATGTGTATTGTCATTCAATAAATAAATAATTAATAAATTTATTGTTGTGGACAAATCTATTGACACGTGCAAATCGTTACCCACCTGTGGGTTCAGCGATAATTGCATTATCGCACTTATCAAAACTTTCACACAATTAAAGAAATACGTTATCTAAATTGATATATATACAATCAAGTATAAATAATATTACAGATACCGTCCATTTTTTTGCGAGAATATTAATAAGTAGAAATGAAATTACTCTTTCTACTTTAAGTAAATTTACCAGCATTACTAGTTTTCTTTTTATTCTTTTTTTCTAAATGAACGTGTTATCATATGACAACACTTAGATATTGTGCATACATTTATAATAGCTACCGTTTTCCGACAAAAAACTTTACCTTTGTAATAAATCTATTTATTATATACTTATAAATGAAATATTGAGAAATATTGATGAAATAAAATGCGTATTTTCATTTTCCGTATTTTCACTGTAAATTTTTTTTTCACTGCAGTGAAACATATTTTCCGTATTTTCACTGGTGTCTTACCGGACTACTTTCTTTTAAATTCTGGCAGTACACAAAATTTAAGGGAAAGTCTTTGAAATTTTATTGCAAAAAAGAGAAAAATGTATATAATAAACAGAAAATTCAAGTTTTTTCTATAAATACATGATTAATTTTCATCTTGTGGCATGAAAATTACCATATTTCACTCGTGGCTACGCCACTCATGAAATATTTATTTTCATACCACTCGATGAAAATAAATCATGTATTTATAGAAAAAACTTGAATATCCTCAATGTACATGTAAATACTGAACAAACATATGAATGACATTCTTTTTCGTTGTAAAATTACATGTATTAATTCCATGATTTTCATAGAAAATATATATTTGCTTGTTTGTTAATATTGATAGTTTTTATATAAAATAAATAATAAAAGATATCATCGTTGAACTTTTGTTGTTGTTTTTGTTGTTAATTTTTATTTTATTTCTTGATAAGTGTTTACATTTTAAAGCAAAATAAATAATAAAAAAATGGGGCCGGGTTGACCAGAAGTAACATTGGTTTGGGGCCGGGTTGACCAATTTGGGGCCGGGCTGACTTGGGGCCGGGCTGACTTGGGGCCGGGTTGACTTGTACCGATTTATTTATATGCAAAATTGCAAACAGACAAAAACATTTGTCAGGCTTACAGATGTGGTGAGGTATGGTAGTGTAACCGTAATCCGGAACATACCGTTCCCGGAAGGTACGAGATTTAGTCCGGGCAAGACGAGAACGATTCCTAGCCGCCATCTTGTAAGAAGGTAATTAGAACGGCAAGATAAATCCGAAGAATCTGAGAGATATAAATGGTCATCCGTACAGGGAAAGTGTTTCAAGGTAAGCAGAACACTTTAATGGTGGCAGCTACTATTCGAATTCACGTCAACTTCGTAGGAATTCTACGCAATCCGGAGGTAAACCAGCGATTTTCTCAACCATAAAAACTTTGGTTGTCAAATATTGAAATCTAAGTATTTCCAATATTTGGGAGGGGGAAAAGGGACTGTTGGTTTGGATTGAAAAAGCACTGTAAGTTTAGATGATTTAATGTGGAAATTTGCTAAAATTGAGTATTTAGAGTACTCTTTTGGTAAGTTTAGAAACTTCGGATATTCGGACTTACGACGCATGCGTATTGGAAAGCTAAGCTTCCGCCCTGGATCAGTTTCGCACGTGAAAACTGTGCCAGTTCAGCCTTATATTTTAAATATTTTTTGAATAATATTTAGTTTAAATTTTTGGTATATTTTCAGCGGTTCAGTATAATTGATTGAATTTATTTGCATTGTTGTTTTTCAAGGTCAATTGGTTCAGTATAATTGATTGAATTTATTTGCATTGTTGTTTTTCAAGGTCAATACACAAAGTAGATTTACTCTTGTTTGATTTTTGTTTGTATGTATATAGTTGAAGGCTAAGTCTCACTATATATTTAATTTTACAATTAGAGGCAAAGATCCTCATTGTAGTTATAAACAACAAAGTCAGATTTTTGTATTTTATTTTCGTTATTTATTTTTGAATTACTAAGTAAATATTCTATCATAATTTTAATCTGAATTGTTTAAATAAATGTAAATTATTTTTCGGGTATGAATTAATTGTCTGTAATTCAAGACTTTGAATATACAATAAAGTAATTTTTAATGTAAAATAATTGCAAGTCTGCTGTCTAACGACTGATTGACTTGACATACTTTAGCTGAACTTCACTGAATCCAATTGCACGAATTATAACTAATTCCTGCATTAGTCGTCGTTATATCTTTGGGTTACCAAGTAAGAACAAAAATAATGGCAGGTTTCAGCGAAAGAATTTGTGTTAATTTTGCTTCGAAAGAGGAACTCCTAAGGATTCCGGGCATAAGTTCAAGGATAGCTGAGTCTATTATTACAATCCGTAATAGTGGAGGGAATATAACACTCGGAGTGCTGCAAGACATGTTAGAGCACACTTTAGATGAAGAAGAAGTAGCTCTGCTGGACTTCTCACCAAGTGAGGGGTTGCCATTAGATTGGGGGAATATACTACCTGAAGTACCATCTTCGTCGAGGAAAGATTCTGGTGAAGGAGGGGACAATCGAGCAATTTTGGACAGCTTGTTGGATGTTCAAGAAAAAGGGAACTTCAATGAAGATGCCGAGGAGCCCGACAAGATTCCTTCAAGAAAGGATTGGCAAGAAGTACAAAAAGTCTTGAAAGTAGCCAAAGATATCATTCGCGACCAAAAATGCAAGTAGTGCGGTTTGACCCCCTGTCCTCAAAGGCCAAGTCTTTGAGAGGTGGGGCGCGTCCAAGCTAAACACAGCTGCTAGGTATGATGATTCTTCAAGTGATGAATTATCTGGACTGAGTAGACAATCTTCTCCGCAACCTAGAGTTAAACATAGCGCGAAAAAGTCCGAAACTGCAGCATTTATTCGAGTCTGCCGAAGAGGTTGCAGTATGATGGAAAGGGAAAACTGGCTGGCATTTAAAGCAGAAGTTCTTTCGTTATGCTAACGCATGCGATTGGACGTCAGACGAATGCCTTGATGGTTTATGCTGGTGCCTGACTGGAAAAAGCCGCTGACTATCATGCAATCATCGTGGAGAGAGATGGCGATATTTCTTATCAGAGATCTTGCAGAAACTGGAAATGAGATTTGGTTCCAGGGAACCTGCTGAAACAGCCCAAGTGTGTTTCCAGCAATCTTCACAACTGCAGGGGGAGTCTCTTGATGATTGGGCAGATAGGGTCATGACCCTGGCGACAAATGCGTTCAAAGACCTGCCTGAATACTATTCCAATAGGGCAGACAGTGAGCAAGTTTTGTGAGGGTCTGGTAGACAAAGATGCCGCGGTAGCCGTAGCCATGGATAGACCTTCAACCATGGAGGAGGCAATGAATAAAGTCCAATGGTATCAGCACCTGCATCAGTCAGTTTATGGCCGTTCTAAGAAGAGGGCTAGTAAAGAAGTTGTTGACGATGGCGCTAATGTGTTTGCCCTAGAAGAAGCTCCTGAGGTTGCGCAAGCCAACGCTGCTCCATCTCAGTTGAGTTCTTTGGAAGTGGCAATTGAGAAGCTTCAGAGATGTTTTTGACAACATGGTCCTGAAACTAGATGAGGAGAACACTTCTCAAGGAAGAAGCAGATGGCCTAGAAGAACTTGTTTCGGTTGTGGGAAAGAGGGTCATTTCAAGTCTGACTGCCCCTCACTGCAATAAAAAAAAATAAATAAAAAGGGGAGGAGGTAGTATGTGTTCTTCCGGTTAGCGCCAGAGTCGCAAACCAGCTTCATTTCATGCTAAGCATGAAGTGAGACCAGGTTTGTGAAGGAAACAGTCATGGACTAAGTTCCATGCTGGATGTATTCTCGATGTAGACAGCATGTAAAGAAACATTAGCAAGTGTATTGCAGAACAGTTCAATTCGAGGCTCATTTGGTTATTGCTGGGAAAGAAGTAACACAGACAGTTTAAGCCAGGTCGAGGAGGGTTGTTCCATATCAACATAATCCTATGTGTTTGTCAGAAGCATGTCAAAGCTGCATTGTCACGAATACCGTATCGGGGCATTGTACAAGTATGTTTCTGGGGTCGAACTGAGGAAACTGCCTTGTGGGGGATGTGATCATTGCGCAAGGGTTGACTTGGACCTCGTCATGAGGGACGTAGATGTGGCAATTCTCTTGGTATTGCAAGGTGGGTGAATCTTGGTATTGCAAGGTGTGTGAAGATGAAGTTTGACCGTGACAAGTCATAAGGTATCATCACAATAATGTCGATAACCAGGTATCACGAGGTGTGCGAAAGATGAAGTTTGACGAAAGTCATAAGGTATCATCGCAATAATGCTGATAATCTGGAAGAGATTTGCGGATCCATTGTATCGTTGGCAATTCCAAGGTCACAAGGGTCGCAAAGGTTCACAAGGAAGCAAATGTCCAAATGTTGGGGTTGTACGCACAGAATCAGGTCAATGGTGCTAAAGTTTAGTGTGTTTGAAGATGTTGTAAGATTGTGAGCAGATATTGAGAATACAGATCGATGCTCTTGTGGTGGATGGGGAAATAGGGCACAGTTTTGAGTAGTGAAAACTTTCGCTAGAAACTGTAGAGTAACTTCCGCCAGCAGTGCTAGTTCTAAGAGCTAGTGCTGGGTATTTAGTATTGCCAAAGTCATTAAGTAGTTCTAGTAGGTCCTGGGGCTAAGTCCCACTGGCTGAATAAGGAACAGTACTTATAAATAGACTAAGTTCTATTGAGGGACATGGGCTATACTAAAGGTAAGATTCCCAATAAGTAGAAAGGTTCTTCAGATGAGTCAGGATATACCATCAGGTGGTGTCTAGGTGTTGCAGTGACCAGGGCCAGGTTTAAGAAGATGTTCTTCTGGTATGGCAGGGGTCTAGATAGTGCAAGTCATGTGACGACATGTGGAATTGCATTTGCAGCATGAAGATGGATGGTCATGGGTAGGTTGGTACAACAGGTCCTGTTCTGAAGATACAAGGGAAAACAGAGATTACAGCCAAAGCAAGCTGTGGTGCCTTTGATGCTGTTGGGAGATCTTATTGGAAATAACAGAAGCCTGGGATATTAACAAGTACAAATGTGCAATGCTAAGTTTGTTGCTTTCTTGTTCTGTGTTAATGTGGCTGCTGTGGTGTAAAAAGTAGCTCCATAAATCTGTAGTCAACACTCAGGTTTGGTGTGGAGGTGTAAGCTGCAATCGGCTTAGGAACTGGACGCTGGCCGCTGTTAAAACACTTCCCAGGTAGGTAAGATATCTAAGATATCAGTTATCCAGTTAAGCTATCTGTCAATAACTTGTCAGATAGGCATTTGGCAGATTACTGTTGCACAGGCTAATGCCTGCCCACTTATAATCTGTGTTTACAGGCCAACGCCTGTAAAGGCGGTTTTGTGGGTACTGGTTTGAAACCCAGGAGTGGACTTGAATCTAGGGTTTCCGCACTTCCAGTGAGAGGACTTCATCTTTAAAGTCGGGGGGAGTGTGGTGAGGTATGGTAGTGTAACCGTAATCCGGAACATACCGTTCCCGGAAGGTACGAGATTTAGTCCGGGCAAGACGAGAACGATTCCTAGCCGCCATCTTGTAAGAAGGTAATTAGAACGGCAAGATAAATCAGAAGAATCTGAGAGATATAAATGGTCATCCGTACAGGGAAAGTGTTTCAAGGTAAGCAGAACACTTTACAGACTTGGAATTTTTGTCATACCAAAAGAAAATCAATAATAAATAAATTAATACAATAAAAATATCAGCAGTGTTTATACTTATTTAAAAAAAAAGTAAAAATGTGCCGATTTGGTACAGGGCCGAAATATACAGACTGGGGTCGAAACATCTAGGGGCCAAACACTGCCAAAATAACACAAAATCACATTCAAGTTTCTTAAATAATCGTCTCTAATAAAAATGATTTAATGGCATTTAGTAAAAGAAACAAACCTTGTAAAATTTGTAAAGTGCGTCCAATTAATGAACTTAAATTATCTACATTTACATTTTATTTATGACTTGAAATTTCGCAGACTTTTAAACCGGATGTTTACAAATTTAATACTTACTGCCATACAAGCCGTTCTTTTTCGAAGGCCTCGCAACACTAAATTTCCTGTTTGCTTTATTTCAAGTAGGTCGATATGCACACATTTTCATTGGTCTGAATTAGCCTTACAAACTGGTTGACGTATTCCACTCAGCATATGTCAATTTAGTTTTATAATAGTTTTGGTCTGGCGGTGGGTAGCAGTGAATATGAGATGTAAATTTTGGCGTATTTCTTAGACTTCATATCAATATAATAAAAAATAGATCATTAAGTAAGACGAGCTTAATAATCAAGTTTAAAGATTAGTGTTACATGTACTCAACTATTTTTAATGACCTTTTTATTTCACACCACCAGTTTTTGACATTTTGAAAAATGTTTGTCAATTTAATCAAATAAAAATTTGATATGGATTGTGAACTCTCAAAAATGTAAACAAGTCTAGAAAAGGATCAATATGAATTTGATAAGAACCTTTTGTACTCTTGACATTAAAACGAGGCTTTATAAGGTGTGAAGGATTTGATATGGACTTAAATTTGGACTCTGGAAAAAAAAAGAGGCTTACTTGATAAAATTGGATTCAATAATTATTTCTATTGGAAGTTAGAACATTACATGGTGAAGTTGGCTATAATTTATATGTTGTGAATTCAAAAGTTTTTTTTGCAATTGTTTAACAACATATTATTCTAGATAGATGTAATATCGACAGGTTTACTTTTTTAAACAATGAATTACGGGTAAAGGTAAAATTATTAAAAAGCAACAAATGTTGAGATGTTGTAATGACTCGTGTATGACAAATTCATGAGCTATGATGTCTCAATCATTATTTGGGCAAATAGTCTTTAAATGGAACACATAAACTTTCTAATTTCACGAATCAGATTTATACTTATGCAAAAGAAAAATATGGAAGATAAGAATACATGTATATACTTTTATATCTGATATAAATAAAATGCATTGTGGCCCTATCAAAATCTGAGTCATAGCTTTTGTAAAAAAAATGAAATTGAAATTTCTGTGGGTTGATTCGTACATTTTAAAATTTATTCATATGGCAGCATTTTCACACTTTCTGGTAAAATGTACATTAAAACAGAGTAGGGTATCAATATATACCACAAGGCTTTTACTGTTTACACAATCTATTATAACATTTTCAATTTCAAATTGTTTTCATTTGTTACTTTCCAAAAGCCTTGGCTTAAATTTTGTTTTATTCTAAGACAGTGGGTTCAAATTCTACTTCTGTAATATGAGATTCTCTTTTGACTTCCACACTGGCGCATTACTAGTTCTGAAACCCAGGAAGCAGTCTTCTGGCGTGACTTATGAACACATCTGCGGATGTTTCTAAATTCAAAATTTTACTATTTCATGTTTAAATGTTGAATTCTGCTTAAGCCGGTGCTAGGGGGCGTGGACGGTAACTTGCACTTTCCAGTACCATCCATGAACAGGCTCAATCAAACCGAGCCTGCAACATTTTCAATATTGCCGTGTTGGGCTTTCTTTAGGGATTCTGTATTTATCAATTTTCAAATGGAGGAAACGTCAGGGAAGGAATATTCTGACTACCTATGAAATAGATGAATACGGAATCCCTAAAGAGAGCCCAACACGGCAAAATTGAAAATGTTGCAGGCTCGGTTTGATTGAGCCTGTTCATGGACGGTACTGGAAAGTGCAAATTACCGTCCACGCCCCCTAGCACCGGCTTAAAGATCCTGTATGTTTTGTGATTGATATTGTTACTGTATGTATCATACACTTGGAAAATGTTATATATGCATATAATTGTGCAAATAAAACAATTTTCAAACATCCAAGAATATGTAAAATGTGTACTGCAAATATTTGTGCACATTATATTTAATGAATAAGTTACATGCATTCATTTCTTATTGGAAAATTTGACTTGGAATTTATAAAAAATAAATTTCTAATTACCTCCCTTTATTTACGCAAAATGTTAAATTGGGTAATATCTTTATAAATGATGCTTATTTGAACTTACAAGATTGACAATTCTTAATTTGAGCGTCATATTTATGAAATAAAACCATGAAAAAAATGTGTTACAGGATCTTTAAGCAGAATTCAACATTTAACATGAACTGGTAAAATTTAGAATTTTGAAACATCCGCAGATGTGTTCATATGGCGGTTATCATGGAACCTTCAATGTGACACGGTAGTGCCATTCCATGAAAAGCGGCATATGGTCCCCCAAGTAAAAAAATGCGTGTGTCCTAAACGAGAAAACAATGGGCGGAACTAAATAAAATGGAATTTTGAAAGGGGATCTGAGGTTATGAAGCCTGCGTATCACAGATAGGACGTCAAAAGACAAATTTAACAAGCAGGCAACATATCCTAAGGGTGATTCAACATTATTCAAGTAGGAATATTGGAACCACCCAACTAGAAATGCCGAAAAGGTGAAACTAAAAATACCACAAGCACAACAATAATGTCGTGCTGAACAATCTTCAAGGATCGAAAATATAACATCATTGATTAAATGTACGGGGACCGTAATAACATTGTTATTAAAGACGTGATGAACTGCATGTATTCTAAAGTATTTTAATTATTGAAATATTTTAACTCCCTTTATATTTTACATATTTTTTCTGGTGCATTGTTGCATTTTATATTGCTGTGTTTTTAATAACTAGTTATGGAAAATATTTAGTGGTGTGATATATTTTTTATCATAACGGTCTTAAACGGCATTTAGCTATAGTAAATCAAACATGGCGGGGATGCTGAGACCGTTTGTGTATTGGGGACAGAAAAACGACTCTGTATCATTAAAGATAGATCTTAGAGATGTGACAGTGAGTGTATATGTGCTTTGATAACTTTTGATTAAAAGCTCTGTGTCTTGTTGTGTTGACAAGCAAGCTTTGAATATAAATCATTAGAATTTAGATACTTTGTTACAAATACAAGTCACAAGTGTCAGACCTTGACTACAGTTGTTTAGGCAGTAGCGGATTTTAGGGTATAGCGGATAACATGGCAGTAACAATGCTCCTTTCCATCAAATATGCCTTTTTCAAAATAATACAATTATACCATCAAAAAGAGTGATATATTTGCCATCCGTGGCTAATTTTGTTTTATTTATTTCAAATTGCACAGCGAGTTTTTCTTACATAAATCAGAACGAGGTAACCGGATTTTGTCACCGTCAGACTGTTTATAAGCGCTTCCAAAAGAAATAAACAGAAAACTATTGATCAACACCAAGTAAAGTAATGAAATATTGACATGATTTGGTGTAAAAATCATTTGTTTATAATTTTGCAAAAGCTTTTACAGATATAACGCTTACTGACACTAAAAATTATTGAAAATGAATTTCAAGTGCTTCTGTCAGTAACGGATTTTACATTTGGGGGTAGTCTCAAAATTTATTTTATGTGTCAAAACGCCGTCAAAAGTGGATTAAAAATAGACTTTAACCAAAAAATATCCCAGTTTTAATGGTATAATAATATTTATTCTATCTTTTTATAATTTAACCTCAGTTGTATTGATACTTTGAATATACCATCATTATTAACTCTTCTTTCAACTAGATTATAAGATTAATAATGGCTTTAATGTAAAACAGACCTCTTTTTCATTGAACTTTGTTGTTTCATTTTTAATACACATGCTCAGCTCAAGTTTATTGCAAAATTTTTGTAATTTATGTATTCAGAATATATAGTTTACTTTTTAATTCATCTATACAGATCTTAGGAAATATTGTTTTTATTTGTTAAATTGCAACATATTATACAGTTATCATTGCTTGTATACTGTGGTGTTACAAAATAAATAAATAATTTTTAAATAAATAAAGCTATTTACTATGGTTGATATAATTATAGATTTTTTAAAGAAATAACTATGGTAAACTATTATAGCTATGTTCAAACTATTACATGTCACAGTTGCATCATAAGTTGTTGACCAGATATTTATTTATATCGATGGCTGAACGCAACACTGGTCTAACTTGATTTTTTTTCAAAAATGACTTTTTTGCATTTTTTAGTCTAATTGCATGAAATACATCAGTATATAAAATATTAGAAATGTTTGTAAAATTTTATGGGTTTTCTTTACCACTTGGCATTTTGCTCTATCTCAAATATGATTATAACTTAAATGCAACAGAGAGCTAACTCAAGTTAGAACTGTACGTGTTGCATTAATCAAAATTTACTTATTGGATGATAACACTGTACTAACTCTAGTTAGCACAGTGTTGCTGTTAAATTTCAATACAATAGATTTCAGTATTGTTATATTTGCAGATATTAAGTTAGGTCTGGCATATTCGTAAATACTTATTTCTACATTTTACCCATTTTTGTTGCCAAAATTGCAGAATTGTAAATCCAAGGCTCTTAATTAATTGTATTTTGTTTTCAAGGAACATTTATAAGTTTAAATTTGCTATATTATCTCTACATAGTCATATAAGATTGAAATAAAAAATAATAGTAATTTAACCTTTCAAAAAGATTTTATTACAATATTTTAATCATATAATTCACTGTTGATGAAAATTATTTACAAGACAATTTATTTGTGTTGTTTTTTGTTGTTATAAATCATAGTGATATATTAATACTGATGAAACAAGATCTCCCACCCTTTAAAATTCCAAGATTTTATAATATTTTAATACAATTTGCTCCTAATTCTTAAAGGGACTCCAATTTTGGCATCATGGGACTTTAAATATATTTTCGAGATTTATGTACAATTTGATGACGGTCTAGACAAATAACTTGTGGTGTAAAAACTTTCAGATTATTTGCCAGAGCAGTTATGTGAACTATAAGAATGACCGGATATTGAAAATCATATTAATGCAGCTTTAAACTCAAATTAGATTCTAATAGAACCATGATAAAATTTTCAATTTCATGTTAAGAATAATTTCTTTATATCTCTTGTGTATCTTTTTGTTTATGTGGCCCGAGTTGATGTTGATTCATTTCAGAAATTCAAATCTTAAGTTTTTATGCTTTTGGACCTCAGTGAAGTTTCTTTAAGTATCTGTATGTATAAGGCTTGTAATCATTTAAATAAAACTTTTGGTTTGGTTGGTTTTACAGCGCACCAACACAATTGAGGTCCTATGTCGCTGAAACAGGAAAGATTTTTTTTTTGCACATT